GCCATCCCTGGCTGCCACGGCTGCCTCGCTGCTATCACGCCGCATGTGAAGACGTATCAATCATCAAATGTACATTGCGAATTGCTAATTGCTGATTTAAAAATGCCCCCTTCCGGACGCCAGACGCACAAAGTCATAACACACGTTCTGCCCCACGAGCTTCCGGATCGTTTCAACCGTCGTCCACGCTGAGACGTCCGCAATGCCATACGCTGTCCATCCCGCCGACGTCGCGATTGCCAACGGGTCGGCCTTTCGGGGCCCGCTGGCCAAGTCGACGAACACCTTGCCTGCAGCCTTCGTTCCTGTGCACCCATGTCCGTTGGGGCTTCCATTCCTTCCGCCAACCCTGTAGTGCTTCAGCAGGGGCACCACCAGTAGCGACTTCTCAGCAGGCAGAGCCGAGATGATAACGAATGGCTGCTGCAGGCGCTTCACATCCTCTACCGATCGTACCGGTGACACGTCAGTAGATAAGGGCCCGTGGGACTTGAACCCTATGGTATATATAGGCCCGATCCCTAGATTTTTCAGTGCGAATATCGACGCCGACGCATCAGCCTCGTTACTGGCGAGCAGCAATGCTGCCTGTCCACTGTACGCCGATGGGACAAAGTCGCGAGTCAGTGTCGCACGTATACCCTTCCACCGTGTGTTGTCTCCTATGAAGGAGGCGTTGCCGGTCCCGGGGGGCACTAACACTGTATCAACTTGTCCGATGGCCCGAGCAGCATTCGAAAGGGAAGGCAGGTACGGCGCCGAGGCTGCCAATGGCGGGTTGATGTAGGCACCGCCAAAGTTGTTGCGTCGGAGGATGTGCTCGATCGAAGCCTTCGGGGCTCTTTCTGCAAAACCGAATGAATGTGGCAGACTAAGCTCGTTGAAACACTTCTCAAAGAACATGGCTTGCGACGTTGATCGAAAACTGCCGATGCCGTAGATGTCCTGCTTAGGCATCTGGCCCATTGTGTGGAGCGCTGCGTTAATTTCGGCTGCGCTTAGTTGGCCAGGTGCCGCAATCATGGGTAACAGTGGATGAGTAATCGGGGTGAATATTTTGTTCAGCGTCCTTGATAGCTGGCCCATGGGGCCCATATTGAGGCCAGAGAAGGGAGGATGAGGATACTTGGCTTGAATAGTCGATCGGAAATATTCCAGCTCGTAGTTCTCCTGCATCGAATTGACCAGTGCGTACATCTTGACAATGTCCCCATACACCGCTCCCATCTCGAACAGGCGCTGTGTTTCAGGCGAGGTCCACTTGAAGCTGCCCGAAAAGTCGTGGAACGCCGAGATGATCTTGGTGCACGCCTTGTTCTCGGCCAGCTTCCTCCTAATCTCCTCTGGCAGCCACAATTCCACATCAATGTATTCGCAACCCCATTGTATCGCGCGCGCAAGGTATCGGTAGAACAGGGAGGGGTCGTCCATGGGGAACCGGCCATTTTCCTTGGTGCACCTCGTAGTGAAGATGATTGGCAGCTCCGTGCGTTGACGCAGCACCATGACTTGCTCGCCGACATACTTCAAGCTGGGTATCTTGCTGACCGTTCCATCTGGTAGGGGCTCCTCCAGCAGGTCGACTCGGATCTCGATGGCGTCCGCGCCGACCGACAGAATGTCAAGATTGGGAAGTGCAGCGTGCACATCGGGGAACGTCGTCGATATCAGCGTCGTGCGCGCCTTCTTGGTGAGGTCACGGTGGGGCCCGATCTGGCCCAGGACAAAAGAGAGGTATCGCGACACGTCGCGACGGAAAAAGGGCGCGCGCGTGTAGAGGTATTCGTAGTCGCATCGGTCGGTGATGCTCTCGTCCAGTTCATGACCGCCGTCCACTCGATGTGTGTTAATCAACAGCCTAGAGCGGTCCCAAGCGTCCAGTTGCGTTTTGGCCAGCCCGCTGCTTAGCCCGTAAACCGTCTCCCGTGGTCCTGCCAGCGCTTCGTCCATGGATGTCGCCGACTCCCATTTCTGGCCCAGGACATCCGCAAAGATGCCTACAATGTCCTCCTCGCCTTCATTATGCAGGATCAGCAGCGCCGGCCGGGCGCCGTTCGGGATCTCCTGCACGTCTATGACCGCGCCTTCCTTGAGACGGGAGGTGGTCACGCTCCCGGTTTGCACCATGGTGGCCATGGGTGAGTAGAGTTGTGCGCTGTTCTGCTTAGTAGTGTTAACCGTACGTGTTGAAGCCGTTGATGCGATGCTGGATCTCGGCGAGAATGCGACGGGCGGTATACAACTGGCGGACTCCGGCAACCGTCGCTACCATTTCCGAAACGTCGAAAAGTATGAGGCGGTGGTGGGGGCTGTGTCTGGAGAAATACAGACGTCTCAGACTGAGCGCTGTAGATTCATCCGTGGGGTGGTGGGATGCAGGACCAGGTCTGGATTTAATCGCGATGTGTGTGAGGTTTGAAGATAGTGAGATAGTACCATGTCAAGAGCAGATGGAAGCACCAAGCTTCCGTAAAACCCGCGCGTCTGTTGGCTCTAAAGCCGTCCTATGGCTGGACGGTGAATATGCCGTTAGGAAGGCCACTAGGCGTTGCTTGCTCGGGGCAGTAGGATAGTGAACGGACCAGCGCGGGCACCGTGGTGCGCTCGCCGATAGCTGGAGCTCGAATTTATCCGTAGACTCGCCATACCGTCGCAAAAGCCGCCAATTTCGCACCAATCACTTGATTTGCCATCAGTCAAGGTATTCGTGCGCCAAGTATATCACCTCCATCGCCTTCGTCTATTGCTGACGCGAATCTGTGGGGATTGGTGGAGAATGGGGGGTAGCGTCTGTCGTAGTGACATCCAAGGCCTGAGGCGACAACCGAATACCATATCTACGCCTCGAGGCTTGAAATGCCCAGCAACAACACCACAGATACGAGCTTGGTATTCGGATAGGCGTATATCGGTACTCCCCATAGGCGCACCGCTTGTGCGAGGCTGGCTCTGGAACTGCACGAGGCTGCACCCGCAGTACAGTGGAGGCGTCGCATCGCAAACTTCAGCCCTATCGGCTTAACCATGAGCGGCATCCCGCGCTCGAGAGTAGTGGAGTAATGGACCACCGGCGTATCTCGTGTAGAGACCTGTGCCCGCAATCTCTCGGAAAGAGCAGGAAATTTGCACAAGTGGTGTTATTACCCAGACATCGACCAGAAAACTGTGCATCCACTACAGCCATCGACAACCTCCGTGGACAGCATCGGCATCATGTTTCCTACACGCAGCTCAACATGTCATCAAAGGGCAGTACCGCAATATACCAACATTAGGCTCGGCACCAGTTGAGGCTCCGTTTCATCACTACGACTTTAGCCGGCAACCTGGAGGAGGCGTAGGTGCAGACGGTCTAACGAGACCTCGATCGCCTCGTCAACGTCGGGTTTGGATTTTCCGACACCAAAATGCAGTGCAACCTAGGTCCACCCCACCAGCTGGAGCATTACATCGTCGATATCTGATGACTAGCTCATCATGAGACTACTTTCTCGCGATCGGGACGTCACGAAGGCCGGGAATACGTTCAGGCCAGTATCGAGGCAGCGAGAGGGGTCGCTGCTCTTCGGGTCTTCGCGCAGTTTCGGCGAGATACCTATCAACCGCTGCTGCGAGGTGAAGCAGATTGATTGATTCACTTCGTTATTCTTCAGCCGTCCGGTCTCGTCCAGGTATCAGAACGGATAAATACAACGAGTTTCAAACATGAACGGGACGCCTTAGAACATCAGCCGTACTGCAATTTTCCGGTCAAAGGAATATATCTATTCGTGGCCACCAAGCAGGCTACCTTACAGCGTATCTCGAGAACGACGCAGCTTTTTAAGCTTCAGCAACCACCGGCAATCGGTCTTTCACATGGTACAATCTCTGAATGCGCCGTTTTCGTATTCCGAGCATGATGCAAATCGAGCATCCTTCTACGTGCAGCTCTCACCCGTACGCACGCTTGCGCCATACGAACAGTCACCACTGCCACGAGCCGTACCGAATCAGCCAAGGATATCTCATCTCTGTGGGATAGAACCGAGTAGGCTCATAGACACGTAGTTCGTCAAAAGGTTTGTTGTGCGATCTCAAAAAGGATGCCATTTCTCGTGTCCGGGTGTGCATACGCCACACTGTTGGTTGCTGTACACTGCATGGACTAGTCTGATCCGTTCAGAATTAGCTCGATCGATAAATCTAGCATAAGACTAACAGCTCGGGCATGCCCAGGTGGAGTGTGGTGATTCTCAGACGCGCCACACCATACGGTCATCCTACTCGCATCTTGGGAGTGAGCTCATTCGACAAGTGCCAACGCTAAACTTGCCTCTCAAAGATGCTTTTCCTCTGGAACATTTCAAATGGATCAAAACATGGAACGGTAACGGGTGTATATGTCAAGGATTTGTAAAGTCCTTCTCAGCTGGGTATCCGAGTCCATGTAACAGCTAATCTACCGCGCCCAGTCTCGCCAACACACTGGCTGCGTTCGGTCGATAATCTGGGTCGATCTCCAGCATGTCCTGTATGACATGAACAAGTTCCGTTTCAGTCGGCCCAAGCTCATCTAGAGCAGCCGAAACCGCCTCAGTTCTCGTCACATTCCCATCATCTACAGTGTAATAGCACCAAGCTATGCTCTCTTCCTCCACCCTGGAACGAAACTCCTTCAGATATTCCCAGCCTTTCCAATACCACACCAAAATGTCGAGGAAGACACATCCTAGCGACCAAACATCATGTGGGCGAGAGCTTGACCCGTTGTTGTATGTCTCCGGTGGTAGCGTAGGTGTGTTGCCTTTGATCTTCGACTTTGCACTACGTCCGAACGCGCTGAGATCCCCGCCATAGCCTGCGGAGCCGAAGTCCGTGAACTTCAGTCTGTGTTTCACGTCAGCGGCAGCATCGTTGAATACTAGGGTGTTGGTAGGCTTGATATCGTGATGATGGTATGTCATATGACTGTGGACAACGTCTAGAGCACTCGCAAGGCCCCGGAGCTGTGCCAAAAGCTACTCACGATCCAGATCTTTCACAGCCCGGCGTTCAGGGAACTTCGCCATAAACTCGTCCAAATTACCAACCGCTAGCTCCGCGACGAGATATATCTTCTCCTCGAATACGAAACCAGTGTAGAACGTAGTGATGTGCTCGTGTGAGCCTGGAGAACGGGCCAAAGTCTCGAGGAAATCGCATTCCCGCTCAGCATCTTGCCGAAATTTGCTGACTTTGAGTGCAACGTATCTAGACAAGTCATTGGGGCCCGGAGCCTCCCGTAGAAAGGGAGCACAGCTGTTGTGAATTCTGGCTTTGTAGACTTTCCCTCCGGATCCCTCGCCAATATCGGGTTTGACAGCGCTGTTGTATTCAATCGGAATGGCACAACCCGTGAGATTGGCCCTGTATTGAGAGTCATGAAGCTCATGCACAACAAAGAGATATTGCGCGTCGCAAAGAGTACTGTAGACTGCGTCTGATTGTTCTTCGGTCGTTCCAAGCCAGTCGTCTGGCGAGAAGGGAAGGGCATCATCATTGTAGTTTGTCAAGACGAAAACCATGTCAGGTGGCGAGAGACCGCAGTAGATAGCGAGAGCAAACAAACGCTCACCGCCTGACCGGATCCTGTTCTTCAGTTCGTACACCGCGTTGGTGTCAAGCCCGGAGAAGTGGAAAATACCACTGACGCTGCTTGCAGAAGCAACTTCCCGAATGGTTGTCAACGGAAAGAATTTGAATGTCTTGTCGCCGAATTCTGCGGTGGTAGTGTTGGTGACCAGCCGGGTCCTACACGCTGCCATTATATCATTGTAGTCCTTTAGAGGCTTTCCCATGATGAAACAGGAGAGGTGAAAATAGAACAAGGAATGAGGTATTGAAGAGAAGATGCTTAGCATCCAGTGGGCTTCTTTATGACCTCTGTTATTCAACAATCACCAAACACCAAGTCTGCACTCATGGTGAGCTCACATGGATCTGAAGTGATTGTTGTTTGTGGGTGGATAAGAGTCTGGTTACGCAAGTGAAGGTGGTATTCCATTGAAGTACAGATTATGTGACCTGTTGGACGCTCGCGATCATAGAAAAGGATATTTACAGTGTAGGAGAGAAGTTGACGGGCCTATTACTCACAAGAGTCATGATCGCATGGAGGATATAGTATTCAAGTTGAAGATTTGTGAACCTGCCCTTGCCGTAAACCAGAGCTGCACGGACAAAGGAAACATCTCGGAATGAACGGGATGAGACTCACCATAAAAGTGTTTGATCTCTGAGCGACCTTCAAACCCGCATTTCCAAGAGTTCTCGACCTACTAAGTGCCCAAGAGGCTGCCCAGAGCAGTAACTACATCACTTACTCTGCTAGTATTCACCACGTCCACATGTAGCATTTGGTCGATGATATCGACCAGAGTCTTCCACTCAGCACCTCTATCGCCAATCTCTTCTATCTTCTGCTGCACGGTACGTGCAAGCTTCATCCCTCCTGGAGCAGTATCATTCCAACGGTATCGGTGCTGCTCCACGAAGTTACTCATCTTGACCTCACCCTCGTGGAACCATACGAGTACTTCGAGAAAGGCCAGCCCTAGGCACTCGATGTCACGAGATACTGCGATGTTCCAGCCACGAATGACCTCCGACGGTTTGTGTTCATTGTAGGTTCCAATAATCGACTCGTCGCTTGCTCGTTCGCTTGATGCTTCACTCGTTTCTTCATTCGATTCTCTAGCAGTCATTCTTGCATAACTCCAGCCGCAGAACTTCAGGGTGCTGTCTTGCAGGCTCATATCGTTCTTGGCAAAGACCAGGATGTTGTCGAGTCCGATGTTGCGGTAAAGCCCAGTATTACCTTTCGTAGTAGGCCCGTGTATCTTTGAGAGAGCATCTGCGAGGCCCATGAACTGACGAACAACCCAGTCATAGTCAAGACCTGCTTGAGCGCCGTCAGTATACTTTGTCATGAACTCCAAAAGGTTTCCTGAGCCGCGCTCGCTGACGACGTAATGTGCTGTCCTGAACTGAAAGCCAGTGTAGGAAGTCACAATATGTGGATGTGAGATGTTGTTATCGGCAAGCGCTTGGAGGAATTTGCGTTCAGTACCGCATTCGGTTGCGTGCGAATATGCTTGCTTGATGACGAGATCTTGGCCTGGGGGTAAAGGGAAATTAGTTCCGGGAAACATGATCAGCATCTCGTAGACGTTCGACCGTAAGCTATCGTATAGGCGACTTTTGACGGAGATAGGGACAGTGTGGGCTTCATCGATTTGCTGATGAAATCGTCCCTGTGCTGGCATCTGAGATAGACCTTCCAGCCGGAATTGGGCGCGGAGGAAGCTTGCGAGGGGGTAAGGTGAATTTGCAAATCCTGAGGTGAACCTATTCTCTGCTATAGGAAGTTCAGAGTCCGTAACATGATCTTCTTCGAGCAACACCCGGAGATACTTCATTGAGATCCTGCCCAGAATGCAGATGACGAACACTCGTCTCTCTGATAGGATAATCTTGGTGATAAGACCATTTTTGGTATCGGAGCTACAGTCACTGAGGCTATCGTCGAACGAAATGACAGCTCTGATGTTCTCGTCGGAGGCGACTTGATTGATAGTATGCTGAGGAATGTATGCGAGTCTTGCTCCGCCGAAGTCATATTGTATAATGTTTCCACTGTCGCGGAGCCAATGGGAAGACCATGATGTTGCAGAGGAGTCCTGCCGGGGACAAAGACGCATGGGATGAAAAACCATGTGAGGATGAGGGTGGTAGAGGCCTACGAATCAGGTTCGGGTGAGCTTGGCAGTAATCTTATCGAACACTGCGAGGCCACACTCACTGTTGGTATACTTGGACAAGCTTATAAAGTGACCGTATTCCTCAAAAGTGCATAGCAGTTGACAATCGCAGGTGAGTAAAAGACGTGATCTGCCGGTCACACGCTGCTAACACACATGAGCGTTATGAGAGTAGCAAACCGAGTATTGATCAAGTAGATCAAGTTCGATGCTAACAACCGCGATTGCCAATATTTACCATGGGAATGGGGTGTCCAAATGACAGCTTGCAGCTTGTATACCGTTTTGCACATGCCCACGAAGGACGGCCGGATCTTGTCTTTCTAGATATGAGACGCATCACGAGGTCTTTTAGCGTGTCGAAGGCATGCCCTCTTTTGGAACGAACAGTGTGATGCAGACCACCTAATGGAAGTTGAAGCGACGGACTTCATCGTGGCGATAGTAGTGTCTACGTTCGCTAAGGTCTAACGGCGTTAGTCAACATGCACCTTGAGTCTAGCCTTAGGCTTATTGGCCATCGCGAAGCCCCAGTGTATAGATAATCGTTAGTGAGCTGACATTTCGTGAAAGGTACCTAGCGTAGATTAGCTGCCATGTGCTCTGCATGTTCACATCCTGGCTACTATTCGGTTGATACATAGAGGAGCCAAAGTGAAAAAGGACGAATGGGAGGTTGGTGATTCAGCGGCCTTGGCGTTGTGACCTCATCCAAAACTTCGGGTGCGGCGAACAGCGGAGGTGATCGCATCACCCGAACTTCTTCCCTACACGACTCCAACCACCCATGATGTTTGCAAGACGCGCAATTCCCTCGGTAAGCTCCTGAAACATACGTCTAATTCTCAATCCATTCTGACAGTCATCAGGCCTTCCGAGCCGCCACCCGCGCCAGCACAGCTCGACCCATCCCCTCGGCACGATTCCTCATACCGTTCCAAGCACGATTACTGTCCGATGAAGTCCGGTCTGCCATCGACAAGGCTGTCGCATCATCGCCTGTTGTTCTGTTCATGAAGGGTACACCAGAGACACCACAATGCGGCTTCTCGAGAGCCAGCATACAGATTTTGGGCATGCAAGGTGTAGATCCGGAGAAGTTCACAGCCTTCAACGTGCTGGAAGATCAGGATCTGAGGCAAGGTACGTTTTCACGGTTCCCACCCCGGTTTGGCCACCTGGCCGTAGGACTCGAGCCTGCGGCACATTTCGGGTGGCTGCAGGATGGGCAACGGGGCATTATATGCTGACAAATTCGAAAAGGTATCAAAGAATACTCCGAGTGGCCAACCATACCGCAACTATACGTTGACAAGGAGTTTGTCGGTGGCTGTGACATCCTGATGTCGATGCATCAAGATGGATCGCTTGCAAAGATGTTGGAAGAGAAGGGTGTAGTTGTGCCAGCCGAGGGACAGGCACCGTAAGAGGCAGATAATACAACGGCGAATATGAGAGGCGTATGGACTTTATGCCATACGGTATCACTTTGGTTGCGAATGTCTAGTCAGCTTCTGCCACCCGTGTAACAACTATATGTATACATACGAAGAGCAAGATACGCATCAAATTCATGGCTGGGATGCCTGATATACTCCAAATAACACACTATTCGAAGGGTAAATAACGATTTCCTGCCCTTACATGATGTGACTAATGTGAGCGCTCTTTCCTGTTGTCCCCACGCGCCTTCCTCAACGGAGCCGGAACATCCCACAAGCTTCGCGTCTGCCCCAAAGCTCGACTTCACCTCTCAGCACTCGCAACACGCCTTTGAAACCCCCAAGCACAGGTAATTTGAATGGAGGTCGAGCGCAGCGTACCTGAACTGCGGGCGCGCGGCAACATGGGCCCGCCGGCGAAGAAGACGGTATCTGCTGCTGCCGTTTTCAGAAACCAGGGTGCTTTCAGGGAACAAGGCAACATCACATGTCAGACGAATATCAGCAACTCCAAGTTCACCGGAGACGATGCTGACGCTACCACATTGCTGAGCGCCGGGTCTCACTCAAGCGTACGGAGTGTAGAGAAGAAAGGAGCAAGAAAGAGGTCTTCGAACATGCATCCTCTAGGCGTAGAGTTCAAAGGTACAGCTATGCTCTTTCATGTGCTGAACGCAGACCGCTAATATCATACTGCACAGATGCCAGCGATAAGTACCGTCGCCACGTCTACAAGACTGCTTCTTCCAAAATCAACAAGACCCTCGAGAAGCTTCTTCATACTCTCTATGAAAGTACCCTGCAGACCGTTACTCGCAACAGTAACCAGCAGGATCCCAATATCTCGCCCCTTAAGATCTCTGCCCCAGCGAAGTACGAGCGCCTAGCCACTCAGCTCTACCAACCCATCTCTCAGTTCACTCTATCACTACGGCGCACTGATAGCGAGGGGAAGAGTGTACGTCTTGATCAGACACTTGAGACTCGCATGCTCCATTACGACGAGTTGATCACTAAGGAAACGGCTAAACTAGCGAAATTGCAGAAAGAGTGGGAAGTGGTCCTCGGCGAGATCTGGAAGCTAGGAGCTACATGCCTAGGCGAGGAAGCTATGGAACATATGCTATTCACCAAGCAGCCATCGGACGAATCGGCATTACCTGCTTCATCTTCGCCATCGAAAGTCACTGACGCCGAATCCACGCTCTTTGTCCCTGAACACGAGAGTTCCCCAGCACGCGACAAGTCTCGTACCAACAGGAAGCACGTTACCTTCCTCGAAGAAGGAGTATCAGCAGATGCCCGTAACAACAAAAACGCCGTCACCCCAACGACCATGTTTCCAAAGTTCATATACCAGCCCTCGAGGTATCGCAAGGACGCCCTGCCTCTTCCAACAAGGCTCCCTCATGATGACATCAAAAACCTAGAGATGGAGGTGAAAGAACTGGGCAGGCAGGAATTGAGTGACATGCGTGAGATTGAAAAGGAACATCAGGCATATTGGAAGAAGAAGACGGCACAGCTTGCTGTTGCGCTGAAGAGTGACTGAGTGTGCAGGCCAATGCGTGTTCGAGGGAGAAAATACCCACTCCAATGGCCTGAGCGCAAGCAACTACGATAGTTTGGAAGCTACAGACTATCTACGCAATATGGGCATGCCAGCTGCCACATAAGTCGCGGTATATGGGGTAGCTTCAGTTGAAATGAATTTTCTCTCATCTACGTCCATCGTCACAACGCTACTCAGCCAAATTTCCAAAACACGACGGAGAGGGACGATGTTCACAACGTCTTGTTTGTATGCTGCATTTCAAAAGTCTACAAAGCAAGTAACAATAAATGCATAACCTCCAAAAGTGATCTAGCGCATGCTGCCTTTAACTAAGCAACGGTCTAATAGTCTAGATGGATATCTCTGATTCAAAGTAACCCCCAATGCTTCTCTCCCACTCTCGCACAGACTTAGTCGAACGAGCTCTTGAAGACGTAGCGCTGGTCCTCAGGCTGCTGGAACGGTACACCCAGCTCAAATAGAGTCATGACGCTCTCGGAAAAGTCCTTGAAGAAAGCGTCGTTGTCCTTGGCGTATAGGTCGGTGTACTTCCTGAAGCTCTTGTCCTTAACAAGCTCCATGTCGGTGGGCAGCATCATCAAGCTCTTGGTCTTGACATCCTCGAACTGCTTGGGGCCGTTCCACTTCTTCCATGCCCACTTCTCCTCGACAAGGAGCTTGTAGTAGTCGTTGGTCAGGGTGGTGGGAGAGAAGGTCCAGGGGCCGTCGAAGCCAGAGCGGTCAGTGTGGCAGCGACCTAGGGCGTGTGCACCGGAAAGGGCGACCATGGCGCGGTCGTCGAAACCCATGCGGCCGAAGATGGCGCGGATGTGGCTAGCGTCCTTGCTGGCGTCGGGAAGACGGCCATCGGGTGTGCAGAAGGAGACGTCGCGGTCGGTGCGGCCAGCGCGGTATGGGATCTTGGGGCCCTGCATTTCTTGGATGGCGCAGACACCGGCGAGGATCCACAGATCAGAGTAGGTGATCCATGGGAAGGCCTCCTTGACGGGCTCGAGGAAATCGCGGGCGGCCTTGAGACCAGCGTTGGCGCCGTGGTCACCTTCGGGGGCGAAGCGCATGGTAGCGCCGTTGGAACCACCAGTTCCCGTCATCTTGTCGTAGCTGTTGTATGTCAGTTCATGTGTCTGATAGACATGAGGGCAGAGTACTCACGTTCCCGAGGCGTGCCATGCAAGGCGAAGAAGAACGGGACCGTAGCTACCATCATCGTAGTCGTCGTGCTCCTCAAGCCTCTTGGCGATGTGGTTGTAGACCTTCTGGTAGTCCTCAAACCTGGGTGTGAAGATCTTCCTGCTGTTGGTCTGGCCGAACAACTCTGGCTTGTATGTGTAGAGGCCGTATACACCAGCACCGACAAGGAGAGCGCCAGCGCCCCAGGCTAGGCCCGTTGGGTTGCCCTCATGCTTGTCTGGTCCATCCTCCTGAGAAGCGTATCCGCGTCGTTGGTTGCGGAAGGCGTTCTGTGTGGGCGCGACGAAGCGGGCAGAGGAGCGGGTCGAGGTGGTGCGGAACGAGGGAGCGGCGGTGCGCAGGGCGCGAGAGAAGCTTCGCGAGGCAGATGCCATTGTGCAGACGGTGGATGGGAGATCGAGTCGGCCGAGCAGAATAATTTGTGCAACAGCTGGATGTCTGTTGATAGGCTACTTGTGGAGCGGTTTGCCTCTGAAAAGGTCAATTGACAGTAGCACAAAGGCAGGAAGGTCAAAGAGAGTGAAAACACAAACGCGAATAGAGCGTAGGCACGGGAAAGCTTTTAAAGATAATGTTTCGTTGCCTCGGACTCAGATGGCGACAATCTTTCTGGAAACAACGGCATCGACCCACTTTGATAGCCTCTGCGCCAATCAGACGCATTACGGGGCATAATCGTCTGGACCCTTGGGATTACGATATCTGATGCCGCCGCGACACTTTTCCGATCGTGAAGCCATTTCCGCCGATTGGGTTATATAATCCGCGCTTCTAGCAGATGACGGTTTCGAGTTTGAGACTATCAGGCAGGGAGACCCGTGGTTTTGTAGCTGCGCAGGGCTGGGCTTTGTCCTCGTGCATAAGCCGACTTCCACGCTCTGTGATTCGCTGTGGTGGCGTCGATCGACGCAGGCCAGCGAGCGAGATGAGGGGTACCTGATGAGGCTCTGCGGCAACTTTGTCTGATATCCTTAGCAGTGGATATTGCCACGCTCGACACGTGGTGTTACAGACGACGTCTGGTGTCTCGTCGCTGCTTGCTATCCTGGGTAGGACATGGTGGCCAACCAGAGCTTTCGTGTACTAAGCCGCCGGAAATGACTCGTGCCATGCCCACATGCCGTTGCTCTCCGATGAGCGGCGTGAACGACAAAAGTGGGTGCATCGCTCGAAGAGGCAGTTTTATCGATCCAGCTGTGGTACCTCACTGTCCTCGGCGCAGGTATTTGTCAAGCAAAATTTCGATTCAATTATATCCAGGGCGTACGATACGTATCGGTAATGAAAAAGAAGCCAGTACAGTTAACGCCTGCTATCCCTTGTCCTTCAATGCAGTTCCCAGTCTTGATAAACGCCTTGCAAAGAAATGCTCACTTGGATTTGTGTGCGTGAAGAAGCCAGAAGCCATACCAATTTCCAACTCCAGTGCCATGACATTAATGCAATCATTACCCAAAACATTAGCTTTCTCGCGTATTACTCGTCCCAGCGTGAACTCTTAAGAAAATATGATCAGTACATGCCATTGTGCGGAGGCATACCCATGATCATGCCGAGATACGGCTGCGTGTGCGGGTAACCGTCCAGGCTGCCGGTAGGCGTAGAGATGCCGGACGTCGATGCCGTTGCCGGCCGCGATTCTTCCATGTTTCTCTTGGCCGCATTTTCGGCGGCTTCCTTTACGATCTTGGGCTTGAGAAGATCCCAGGAGGTGCTGTTGGGGTCTTTGGGGATGGTAATGGCACGCTTGTATGCCGGACACGCTTCTAGCTCTTTGATACTGATGGGTGGATCGAGTTGGGACGCCTTTTCCTTGAAGAAGTTCTTGCGCCGTAACTTCTTTGCAGTGTAGTCAGAAGTTCTAGCCGTGCGTTGCATCTCTTCCCACTGCTCCATCTTCTTTGCAAACATCTGGCGCTCTTCTACCTTCTTGGCCTTGTCAGCAAGCCATTCAGTCCACCATGTAGCCGTCTCTTCTGTGTTGGGGTCCCTCTCTCTGGACTCCTTGTGGAACTCGGCAACGAGCTTCTGCACGTCTGACCGCAAGTAGATGGTCTTCAGCGCATGCGTACTCGCTGGTCCCACGCCGACAAAGTTACCCCATGAATCGAAGATGCCACTGGGCAAGGCAGCGCGGATATAGGATACGTCTTCGCCGTTTGGACCTCTCAGCTGGGCAACAGCATCGTATTCCCTGATGACTTGGGTGTTGAGACAGTCTTTGCACATGCGGCGCAGGAAGGCCCAGAAGGTCTTGCGAGTGTTTGGGGCGCCGCAGTCCATACAGCCATGCCCATGGCGCAAGTGGGCGAACTGGAACTCGGTGAGACCTGGAGGTGGGTCCGGCATGTCGGTTCCGTAATAGTAAACCCTGCTATGCTTCCAGAGCATGGGGTTATCCCGCAAAAACCGGTAGCATGAGGCAATCTTGCTACGCATCTCGAGCAACTGCGCAGGGTCCGAGTAGGACAGTATGATGAACCAGCAGTCCAGGTCGACGCCTTTGGACAGGATCTTGCCCCTTCGTAACCTCGTCGGCTTGCGCTGCTGCCACTGCTGGTTAAGCAGTGGACGGGCCGGTGCCGCAGTGAGTGGAGTCGCATCGTTTCCGAAAGAGGCGGCCGGGTTGGCCGCGTGCTCAGAGTCCTTCCTGGACTCGTCGACCCGCTTGCGCTTCAGACTGCCTTCGACCATGGCCAGCGGCACATTGTGGGATCGCACCTCGTGCGCCAGCCCCGCGCGTTTCCCGCCTGGCCGCCGGCAGTTGATTACGGTGGCATAGGCCTGGTCTGGCGTCTGCAAGAAGGGAGTCTGCTTGTTGACGGTAAAGGCGACATATTTGGCATTCACCATCTCGGGTCAGCAGGCCAGCCGCTCGGGGTATCGTCGACGGGTAACGGGTCGCTCGCAGTCACACTTCCACGTCGTGGGTCGGGCCTGGCATGCGGTGCTGGGAGGATGGCGAGATTGAGAGTGCAGGGTCGAGAGGCTGAAGGAGAGGAGGCACAGGGAAAGGAGTGTGGACGACGCTGAGACTTCCGCGCGCCCAGGCTTGAGTTGATGTCGGCTGCCGAACCAGCTTGCCCGACCAAACCAAAACTACAAGGTTGGCCCTTCGGATATAAAACCTGGCCTTTGCTCAGCGACCGCCGACACGCCCTTCACCACCATGTCGACAGTCCCCAGTTGACATCAGCCCAGACTGTCCCTGGCAACAACTACGTCTGCAGGTGGAGTTCTGCAACTGTTCCGACAATGCCATGCGGAAAGATGCGCGCTTGCTATTCCGCATCAATACGTGCCGACGCATCTTTTCCCTTTAGGCCCGGCGCCACACTGCTGATCACATGGTTACATCACACGCGAGGCGCACGCTTACGGTCCTTTTCCAGCAGGTTTGAGCCGGCCAATGTCGCCTGTCTTTTTGCTTGTTCCAAAGCCGAGCGGTCGACGATTAGTTGCACGCCGTGTTTGCGCCATGTCCTTGGGTACCCGTGACTTCGCGCTGGCGACCGGCAGCGCAGCTTCCTAATGAGGACCTCCATCGCTTACGCATGCATGGGCAAACAGCCAAAGCCAGAGATGCGGGGTTGGCGAGCGTCGACGATGCGAGAGTGGTCAGATTTGTGCTAGGGTACCAGCGACCTCGGCCTTCGCTGTGACTCCATTTCACTGTCCGCTTTCCAGGATATATTGCCTTCGCTCCCGCCTCTGCAAGTGCCATGCAAGTGTGAATTTGGCATCGGACCTACTCCCGAACACTAGTCAAGTCACCCAGGCGGATAGAGTCAAGCTCACTGACCGTCGTCATGTTCGGAAGGAAAGAGAGTAAGTCGCCGCAATCTGCGAAGCTGGCCCCGATGACTCCCGCGGAGTGCTTGACGCATCTTGTCAGCTCCAAGCTCATCGTCAGCTTCATTTTGCACAGATCATCATTGCACCATCCTACGCTCTTTGCCATATATACAGAGTCGTTGAAATATGCTGATCATCCGCAGAAGACGTGCCGTCTCCGGACGTGGACAAGACAGATCCAATCCCTCACTATGACAATACCTACGACGACGACCCGGCACTTGTCCCATGTCCGCCCAACACCACGGAATCCAAACTCGTGACCAAGATTGACCTCCATGTCATTCCCTTCCTTTGCATCATGTATCTCCTAGCCTTCCTGGACCGTGTCAACATTGCAAATGCGAACGTCTTTGGCCTCAGCGAGGAACTTGATCTGGCACGAGATAATCGCTACAACACTGCTCTGGTCATCTTCTTCGTCCCCTACATCCTCTTCGAGATCCCGTCCAATGTCCTTCTCAAAAAGATGAAACCTCGCGTCTGGCTCAGCATCTGCATGTTTGGTTTCGGTCTCGTTACTATGCTGCAAGGCTTTGTGCAAAATTACTCTGGCCTGCTTGCGACTCGATTCTTTCTCGGTGTGTTCGAGACAGGCATGTTTCCGGGTGCCTTCTACTTGATTGGTATGTGGTACCGCAGACACGAGGCGCAGAAACGATATTCGTTCTTCTTCAGTTCAACGACTCTGGCCGGAGCCTTTGGTGGACTGCTAGCTTCTGCGATTGGCAAGATGGACGGCATGCGCGGATATCAGGGTTGGAGGTATTTTTCGACCGTGCATTTGTGTTGGAAATCACTGACTCTGGCAGATGGATCTTCATTCTGGAAGGACTCTTGACTGTTCTGGTTTCGTTCGCTTTCTTCTTTCTGCTCCCAAACTTCCCGGAAGAAGTGAAGTGGCTCTCGGAACCCGAACGCGCGTTTGTCAAAGCCAGACTTCAAATCGACCAAGGACGCTCCGCACGTGAACGACCTATCAAGGCCAAGGACGTTGTGAATGTGTTCAAGGACCCCAAGATCCTCATTGGCGGACTCATGTACTTCGGCTTGATCGTACCTGCCTATGGTTACGCCTACTTCTCTCCCACCATCATCCAGAGCTATGGTTACTCCAAGATCCAGACACAGCTGCACAGTGTTCCTCCATGGGCCGCCGCTTTTGGTTTCTCGATGCTTGTCGCATGGTTCTCGGACAGGCTCAAACACCGCTTCCTTTTCACCATCTTCCCCATCGCTGTATGCATCGCTGGATTCGCTATTCTGATCACCGTACATGACAACCATGACCTGCAATATGGAGCGCTCTTCCTTGTCGCCATGGGAGCCTACACCGCCATGCCGGTCATTGTATGTTGGTTCAACATGAACTTGGGTGGTCACCACCGTCGAGCTGTGGGAAGTGCATGGCAAGTCGGCTTTGGTAAGTTTGAAATCTCTCATATGATATCTGAGGTATCAAATGCTAACCGAAAATAACAGGCAACATTGGTGGAATCATCGCTGTCTACTCGTTCTTGAAGACTGACGCGCCAAAGTATACGCGAGGGTATTCCATCAGTATCGGCTTTGTGTGCCTCAGTGCACTAAGTTGCTGCGCGTACTTTGTCATGTGCAGTTTATCGAACCGAAAGAGGAATAAGAGCGTCAGGGATGTAGGATTGACGGAGTATGAGAAGACCGAAATGGGCGATCTGAATCCGGAGTACCGCTATCTCTTGTAGACGGTGTGTGTAGACGTAATGGATGAAGAGTATGAAACAGAGGCGGTAAAACATTACATCTCGTATATGTAGATCACGCAAAACAAGGCACGCAGTCTTGATTTCGCTGAAATACTTATACCTTTGAACTCCACTATCGATCATTGCGGCACTAAATCTAACACGCTACTTGTATTGCCCGGCGTAGCGACGATCTAAAGATGCTGTCCATTGCACATGGAGTAAATGTGTTTCCACGCGGTACTATTTGTTGTTGTTGCCAATGGCTTACACCAGCCTCTTCAGTCTGTTCGTGTATTACCACCAAACCTGCGATCCCTCAATCGAGCATGTGGCTTTTGCCAGAGGCCTCCATAGGACGTGTGTATCTTCGATATGACGAGGGAGCGCGAGAGCGTGTGTCCCGTCTTTCTCGTCGAAGTAGGTTCGAAAGCGGCCTAGATGTACGCTGCCCGTTTATGGCATATTGTTCTGGATAATTCCCGCTCAGGCTGTGCATCGTCTCAAGTGACGCTCGCCGTGTCCATACTGTCTTCGCTCCCATGTCCCCAGATCTCTTTGCTCTCGCTCTCCACCCCTCTCATTGCCTTTGCAACCTCTTCCAGTCTTACAACGACTTCTTGCACACCCTTGTTCACTTTCTCAAAGTATCGGTCGTTCTCTTCTCTCCTCTTCCGACTCAGCTCGATGTCCTTCTCTGTTTCCTCCTCCAGCTTGATGCGGTCGAACAGCTTTTCGCCTTTTCCCGACCCTGCTCCGTCGTGAGGGTGGTTCGCTAGACTCTGGGGTTGCAAGTCGTTCGCTTTACTGTCCTGCGACTTCTTCTGTTGTTCGGGTGTCTGTTCATCCTCTTCCGAGCGCGCCCATGCTTTCGCAAGTTCTATCTGCGCTTTTCGCAGCTCATCTAGTGCTCGAGAGTGTTCAGAGCCGAAGACAGTCATGCCTGGGCCCTTGATGGCGCTCAGCTCAACCTCCTCCAACGTGTTTTGCATTTCTGCCCATATCGCTTCGGCGCGTGACGATGCTTCGGCATCTGCGGCTTGGCTGTGCTGTCTTTGTCGCCGTTGGAATGGCGCCGAGGGGTTCGTGGAGGTGAGGCTGAGGTGGTCGCCATCGTTGGTGGTCGTGGGTGGAAGAGGTCGCTTGTTATCAGGAGAAAGGAGTGAGCGCTGGCGGACTAGCGGAGCCCTTGCAGGTGTTCGGACTTCGTGCAGCGATGTATTGGAGGCATTGTGTGACGGTGGCCCAACAAACAGCGCAGGCGCAGGTAGGCGATTAGTTTGCGTCTTGGTGACTTTCTTGTCGTCTTTGGAAGTCATAGTGGTGCATGCGCTGAGCGCGTTCTTTGTGGCTAAGTTTAGGTGATTGGAAATGTGTGAGTATTGCGATGGGAAATTAGACTGATCACTACGAATCTTGAAGTTCACTGACTTGAGCTGCAACTGTGCTGGTGTTCATTGATGTTCTCCCCAGACGCGATGACGATGGCCCGATAAGATAAGATGGCCGTGCGGCGCTAACCCCTTCCGGGCCAACGCCGCTAAGCTGTGGGGCTTGGCTCTGGCGCACACTGATTCCAGCCGCTCTCGAAAATACTTCGACGTCCGCGATACTAACCACACTTCCCCCAGCACACCCGTCGTCAATACCGCAACCATGGGTAAAGGTACGCAGCCACTCCCTCCAGAAGCCCTCGATCGACGCGAAATGCACAATTCCACGCCTTCGCCGTCCTGACACGGGCGTATATTGGGTAGTTGCTCACAACATCATCAGGAAAGCCAAGAGGTCTCAACGCTGCCCGCAAGCTCCGCAACCATCGCCGCGAGGGACGATGGGCCGATCTCCACTACAAGAAGCGTCTCCTCGGAACCGCCTACAAGTCGTCTCCCTTCGGTGGATCTTCCCACGCCAAGGGCATCGTTCTCGAGAAGGTCGGTGTTGAGGCCAAGCAGCCCAACTCCGCCATCCGAAAGTGTGTCCGTGTACAATTGATCAAGAACGGAAAGAAGGTCACCGCTTTCGGTATGTCACTATGCGGAGATTGAAGAGGCATCGGCGACGAGCCTGTGGCAACAATGAGAGCGTGGGCTAATAATCTGCCAGTTCCCAACGACGGTTGCTTGAACTTCGTCGACGAGAACGACGAGGTCCTCCTCGCTGGTTTCGGTCGTAAGGGCAAGGCCAAGGGTGATATTCCCGGTGTGCGTTTCAAGGTCGTCAAGGTTTCCGGTGTCGGTCTGTCCGCACTGTGGAAGGAGAAGAAGGAGAAGCCCAGGTCATAGAGGACTCGTCTGCAAGGAGTCAAGGAAGGAAACGAACGTGGACCACAAGCCCGCCATGAACGAATGATGGAATCCGCGGATCACTATGGGGGGTTACCGGAGTCTTTACATCGGGGTTATCTGTGCTTCTACCCGGCATATGAAAAGTCATGATATGCTGGAGAGTTAGATAGAATCTGACTCATTCAAGCGCCCACTCCGTATGCGTATGCCATGGAGTGATGTTGGGTGCGTCGCCATGTCGTTTAGGGCTTGATAGTGAACGTGGTGCACCAAATATGTTTCAGATTCTATATTATGCATGATTCGTTGATCGAAAAAAGACGGTAATGTACACAATCCGCCCTGTAGTAACAAACTCCGACCAATGCAACATAGGAAAGAAGCGCCGCCGGGTATCTCAAACAAAACGCCAATCACCTTTGCCATCTTAGCAATCCTTGCTTGTGCAATCCATCTTATTTCGTAAACATGGCATTAAACGTGTCCTCCAGTCCAGTGTCCTTCATAGTCCCGTAGTATTCATACTTAAGCTTCGGGCTGGCGAAGAGCTCAGCATCCCTCTTCACATTCTTCGGTACACCGAAGCCATCCAGACCCGGTATCTCTCCCGCACCTCCTTGCGCCTTCTGGTCTCCTTTGAAGAACCTGGGTGCGTTTTCCTTGAGAGGAGGCGCCCAGACACTCGGTTTCCAGGGGTTAGGTTTTTGGTTGGCGCCGAGCGAGGGTGGCGGCGGTGCAGGGACCCGGTGACGGAATGGATTCGGGTCCGGTTTGGAGAAGATGGAGTGGGGTTCTCTGAAACGAGGGGGTGTTGCTGGCTGACGAGATGTCGTCTTGGAGAAGTGGTTGGGTATAATCTCTGGGGGTTGTGAAGAGAACCGACTTCCGGGATTCTTGGTCGGTGTCCAGTCCATGTCGTCTGCGCCCAAGAATGTAGATCGCTGGGCATAGGGTGTGGTGACGTCGGTAGCATGTGTGGTGAAGGAGGCTTCTGAGATGGTGGGCGATGGGGGAAGAGGGGAGGACTCCTTGCACTGATCCATGCCATTTGCAAAATCGGGCGCTATACTGTCGAAAACGCTTGCTTGGGGATGAGCTGGGTGGTAAGAGCCTCTTCTTGCCTTCTGTGCGCTATCGGGTGCGCTGGGTACGGGTTCGCGAGCCGTTTTAAGAAAAGAGGGCGCGGCGCCGTAGACTATGCGGACCGCCTTCCATGTCATGATAGACGAGAAGGTTAATATTCCGAGCATACACACATGTGTGTACCGGAATAGTGTCAACGTGTCGTTGTTGATGGTGTGACCTTTCCAGTAGTAGAGGGTTAGGAAACGAAGAGCCACGGCAGTAATTCGAATCATCCATAGTGACATGAGCCCGCGCATCCTGCCCGTAAGGCTGTTCGTCTTGAGTTTCAGCTTGGGGTTCCACCAGATTGTGAGAGCATCGGCGATAATCGCAAAGTTCAGCCACTTGAGTATCACGGGCGAAAGTACACAGATTTCGTCCATCCAGCATCCCGACTTTGCCTGAGTCCAACAAGTATCCCAGCTGAAAACTTGGTACGCCCGTATACCCTCATCCGGGCCCATGTACAGTCCAGCAGCATGCCAGACAATTCCTATTGCTGTGCTCACGACATAGGTCCACTTCGCCAGCGAAATGAACCTCAATGTCCACGCTTGTCGGTGGGTATGTACGGTTGTGCGCTTCTGTTTACTTGCTTCCATGATACGCGCCAGGTTGTCTGCTCTGGCAATATGGTTCGCGTTCCGGATCTGGTGTTGGACTCGAGGCAGACATTCGCTACAGACCTGCGGGTACCGGGTCTCGAGCTCGTCCTTGTAGTCCTCGTACGCCGCTAAGAATTGCCCATACGTCGGATCATCCTCTTCCGGAAGATACTCGCCCAAGAGCTTTGCGTAGAGGGTCTGGTTGCGCTGACATGTGTCGCAGAAGATGTCGTCACCGGGTACGGACATGGCGGGTGTTGGGGAGCGGGAGCGCAGGTGTTGGAACGAGGCTTGAGGGGCGGTCGCGACTTCTTCGATGGGCGGATCGGTGATGTTTCCGCGCTGGGGAACAGGTCAGTTGGAGAGGTTCGGGTGTTTATGCGGCAGAGTAAGTACTTCGTCGAAGTGATTCACGGCGTCGCATTGCGGACAGTGAAATGTCTTGGGTATTTGTGAGACAGTGTCGCGTGACAGTGTATTGCAGTAATGGCAGCGCAGTCTGCGCCGTAATAGCGCCATGGTGGGAAGACACCTGAAGTGGGTGGTGATGGGTAGGGTTGATGCACCATGTCATGGGCGACGTGTTTTGGATTCTGCCGAGGCGGCCACACCGCCCGGGCGCCGGCGCGGAATTTTGGCTCACCAGGTCGAATGCACTGTTCACCACTTCTGGAGGGACGACTGCCGACAATCCATCGCCGTGGAAACAACACCGGCTCGAACCCTACGACACACCGTATCCGTCTGATCTCCCCGGTCGTATCCGCCACTACACCCCTCGCCGCCCGCCATTCGATGGCTCGGTAGTCCGCAAACCCTCGCATCTCCATCTCCACCGCCGCCATCCCGCCCACCATGAGCCAATTGATCGTCAGGCCGGGGCGCAACGCCGCCCGTCAGGCCAAAAAACTCAAAGAGATCCGCAAGGTCAAAAACGCAATCCAATGGCACGAGCGGGAACGCAAGAAGCGCCAGGGACTCAAACAGGACAAATGGGAAATCAAGCGAGCCATCCTTGCGCGTAAAGGGTGGGAACAAGAGCGCATCAAGGGTGTCAGGAAGCAAGCTCTGGCCAATGCAAAAGAGGACTGGAAACTTGGTCCGTTGAGGCCAAATCGCGCCGTCGGCCCAGATGCTGAGAAATACGGTGCCCTCACCGGCGGCCAGGTGCAGAAGCCTGAGATACCTATCGAGGCGCAGAAGAGCCGGAACGCTTTTAGGGAAAAGAAAGGCCTCGAGCTCGAGTACCCGCTGGTCGTGGACGATAAGAAATACTTTCCAATTGTGAAGGGTGATCGTGTCGTAATTCTGAAAGGAAAAGAGGCGGGTAAGGTCGGTGTGGTACGAGAGACCATAGATCGATCACACGACGTCGTTATTAAGGGCATGAACTTGGTATTTACCGCCTAGCTGTGTCATCAAGTTTGAGTGTTAACATTTGCCAGCAATACTTCGACACTAATCTATTTAGTAGTGCTGCCGAAGAGATGGGGCCCAAGGTAGAGAACGAGGTGCCTATGCCCTTGAGCAATGTACGTCTCGTGGTACCAGCCGAGATAGACCAGGGAGGCCAGAAGCGTTACGAGGACGTCGTGGTTGAGAAGATCTACATGGAGCGGCATACAACCGGCATTGATCCATACACCGGTACTGACTACGGGAACGACACAATACCCGAAGCACACCAATACGATCCTCGAACTGGACTTCCCATCTTCCATCGATACATCGCAGGCACACGGCAACGACTGGAATGGCCATGGGAACGTGTGGAAGGAACTGAAGCTGTTGGTACCACAAAAGAAACAAGCAAAGACAAGAAAACATTACTCAAAAAGGCCCTGGCCAAGGTGAGCCAGCCGTTCACGAGCTTGAGTCGTTGGCGGAGCAAGAACAAGGAGGACCAAGCTCAACAAGACGCAACGAATAGCAGGAGCCCAGTCGACCTCGAGGCAAAATTCGCCGAGATTCAAAGGCAAGAGCAGGAACGATTCAAGACCGCCGCTCCAATAAGCATAGACCCTGAGCTTCCTTCGGCCTATGATGTGGACACAAGACGAAACATTGTCGAAGGTTCGCAGTCCATGGCTTACACGCTCGTTGCGCCACCTTTCCCCGACACCATTGCAGAAGAACTCCGTAGCGATATCCACGAGTTCTCCATCAAAGCGAAGAAAGACAGGGACCCCGAAATACCGCGTCCTATCAAGGTTGCGCAACACTCCGAACAGGGTGTGGTCGCGCGAGAAATTGCAAAGCAAAAGCACAGAGCGGCGCAGGCAATGAAGACGCCCATGCAATTGAGGTGGGAGCTTGAGCATCAGAAGAAGGTGCAGAGCCAGAAGGAGAAGCCGCTTGTCGACCAGGAGAGCTTGCTGGCGGCATTAGGTCAGCACATGCAGAAGAGTGCTACGAAGCCGTATCTGGGCAAGAAGCAGATTCCCAGTCAAACAGCCGACCTCGACTAGAGTGACTGAGACGATGGCATGATAACATATCACGCCTGCGACACGAGACTTGTAGCATACCTTTTGTATATATAGCATGGATTGAAGCCGAAAACTCAGCTAGGCTTTCTGTGGCCTGTTGGGTATCTTCGCTGTAAATGAACATCAAACGCCTGCATCATGCATACCATGATCTCTTGAACCTCTCCCATGAAATCGTTCTTGAGTTCATACCAGAATGCCCCAGTATTCCGCTCGTCCTCCTGCGCCCTCCAACTCCTCCCACTGCACCAGGAAGCGATCCACGACCTTTAGCAGCAGTTTCCCACTTAGACTCAGTGTCTTGACTCGTGCAAAACTCTCTACGTACACAGTCTTGCACTTGCCTCTACTATTCGCGCCCTTGATGTTGAAGAAGCGCAGTATAAGGCTTGCGAGGACAAGGATTACAGCCGTGGCTGGGCCGTTGGTGATGATGAGATCTGGGAGGTCGGCAGCTGCGGCTTCGTATGGTGTTGTAGGGGCTTGGCCGGCCAGAAGTGGTGGTGCGCGGAGGAGAGGTGTGAAGGAAGTTAGGAGGGTGTAAAGTGAGGTGAAAGGCGTTGTGAGGAGTGGTTGGTGTATCTTGCGCGCGCGAGGGATGACGGCGATGTTGTAGTGGTCTGGCCCGGTGCATGTTGGTCTCTCTACCCTCTTCTCTTCTAGAGCATGTGTCGTGCCGTCTGCATCTGTAATCTCCATCACAGGTCTTCTTCGCGTGCCGTCTGGTTGCACCGCCTCTTCCTCCGATTCTTGCTTTCGCAGTGGCTCCTTCTCCCCATCTTCGAGTCCTCGCTCGAACTCCGCGGCGCGTTGCGCTGAGAACGCATCTCCGCTGCTGACCACGTATGTTCGGTGTGTGTATTTCCGTGTGTCTAGATCTCGCAGTAGGTAGAACATCTCGTGTGTATGTCCGCCTGATCCAAGAACGACGAGGATACGTGTTGCGAGCGGGCGCTTGCGCAGTGGTGTGGACTTTGAGCGCGCATTTGGAAGTATGGCAAGTAGACGCAGTGTTGCCGCGACAAGCAGGGTAGCAAGGGTCGCGATCGCGAAGGAGAGGGTGTAGAGTGAGGACGGCGGGGGCGCCATGGTGGGGTTGTCGCGAAGGATGAAGGTCAGGTCGTGGTGGATTGTTCCCTTGGTCGAGTGTGCCAAGCTGAGGAACAACGAGATACTGTGTCTCAGGTTGAGAGCAAAAGCATCGTTGTCGCGGCCGTAAACTTCACCAGGTGAAGGTACGTGTCGCCGCAATTGGCCAATCGTAGGGACCTCGGGACGCGAAATCACATGCTTCAGACTTGGCGTCAGGGCAAGTCATCCCACACCATCCACGTCTGCTTCCACATCTTCCCGACATGCCAAGGGCTCGTCCATCATAACCAAAAACCATGCCTGGCGGCGTATAATTCACTCTCACTCGGTCAAGTCTCACATGTCAACCATCTGCGGATACGGAGACCCCTTCATACCTAGGTAATCGAGCATTTCTGGACACGCAATGTACGCGGACTTGCTGTTAGAGCATGGAATTGTCTCTCCCCCGTTCTGGAAAATGAAGTCGCGCATTCGAAAAGCGGAACATAGAACCATGGAAAGAGGTTTTTTAGAGAGAGACATGTGCTGTCTCTCTTTCGTTTTGAATGACGAGACCGCATGTGTGATTTTGGAAGGATCAGGGGATGATTACAAAGAAGTTTTATACCCATGACGCCAGACTACCAAATGGTAAGATGGCTGATCCGGGATAAAGCATCCATGGGATCTAACGGGAAATAAGGAGAGAACGGCATGGAACAATGCATTGCTGATTTAGAGATTCCGTCATCTCCACTTCCATTAAACATTCACATGGACTTTCTCTGCCATTCTTCTGGACGAGCGCACATAAGTCCTACCAGAACGAGTTTTGAGACATTAAGAGGTAGATGCTACATAGTAAATCTTGCACTCCGCATCATGAACGAGATAAATATCGCTTCTGGATTTTCAAGCTTCTCGCTGCATGTTGAGGAACGGAAGAGAACAGAAAAAAGGTGGAGTTTCATGCACCAAGGAAGCCGGCAGTCCATTCCTTCGGCTGTGCTCTCATGTGGTGACTTCCCATACGGTTTTTGGAACAATCTCAACACATAAGTCCTACAGTGCCTTCTGTTAGAACCGATATTGCGCAGCTCCTCAAATTCAGTTTCGAAAACCTCTATGTATCGATTTGATGCACCTTTTATTCCTTTCAAGGTCCCAGAATGGGTTGCTGCGAAGCACATAGAATGCGCCTGTATCTCTTTTGGAGCTCAGCATGAGAATGAATATCCCATTTCATGAAGGGGTTGGAATGTCGTTTCTTCCTTGATCATCGGAGTGCTGGTCCAGCGACATATATCAGAAGGGCATATGTCTTTTGAGAGACTCATTGCCTTGTGTGTGGTTGAAGCAGACCAGACATAGCGCCTTTGTATGCACTTTTTCGAAAATGCACCACATAGGGGTATCAGGTGCATCTTTTGAGAAAGAATCATTTGGGATATAGAACGATGTGAGAGCTTTGGACCGAGAAGAACATATATACACCACTAGCGCTCCCAAACTAGCTAAAGCTACTAGGTACGAATATCAAAGATCCAATACTGTCTCGATGCGTTCATGAGACGTGAGGGAAACGCCATCCATCGAGTAATCATGTGTAAACACATACCGAACTCCGCTGCGACCAACCCCGAATGATTCAAAACAAAAATTTCGCGCGCTTTCGCCGTTACCTTCCACTCACATTTGCAAGAACATCTTCCCAAACCGGCCAATAAGTATTCCCACCCGGCTCATCCATCTGCCACATTAAACTCGGATTCCGCCTCATGACACCCTCATGCTCTCTCTTCAATCCCACCAGTCTCTCACTCAGAATCCTCATCTCAGTGACCACTAGCCTTAGCTCTTTGCCCTCCACAGTAGCAGGCGATATCTCACCCTTCAAATCCGACAACGGGCCAATGAGACGAGTGAGCGTGGGCGGTAGACTATATCGAAAAGAAGCTTCTACCCAGGCAGTGACCGCGACACGAGAAGCTAGAAAGGCACTCAAGGCGGGTAGGTAGGGAAGTGTGTCTGCTGAGGAGGTTGTGGTGTAGTGTGAAGATGGGGATAGAGCGCGGCTCAGATGGATGGGCCAGCAGAGCGCTGCATATCGCAAGAAAGGCAAATGGGTATCGAAAGGCACGGTGCGGATACTATTCGCCCTCGAGCTGTTGTGTTCAGTTGGTATTGTCGGCATCGCATGGATGTGATTGTCTCCGTCTGATGAAGACAGGGACTTGTATCCACTGTCTATCGACGCGCTTGTTCTTTGGCTCGCACCACTACTGGTAGGTATGGTAGGTGGCATGGCTGGACTGTGAGGCTGCAAAGCACCGAGAGGACGTTTTGGTATATCGTGAGCAAGATATGATAGACATCGTGCAGCAAGGTGGCCATGGACGCTGCTTGTATCGCAAAGACTGAACTCTGAGCCTTGAGATAGTGGGTTGAGAAGGTAATCGCGTATGGATTCGTGGGTGAAAGCGATCTCGTCGTTGACCACGCAGAGAAGACCACATGTCAGTTCCGGCAAGGCTTGTATAACATCGGCCATATGCGGACCCTCGGGAATGTTGGGTCTGTATGTGTCCAGAGCAGCGTGTAGTGCCCCCGGACACATGCGGTTGATTGGGAAAGACAACCATCGAAATGTATCGACAACGACGCGTTTTTCTGTCGGCGGATGGCGCGCTAATGCGTCAAACATGATACGGAAGAGCGCTTCCAGGCCCTGTATTGAATGCACTCCCTGGAGGATATCCAGTCGCTCGTCCGACGACAGTAGCGGCGACTGAAGGAGTTTCAACAACATGTTGGCCCAGAGAAAATCCCCATCTGCCGTCCTCGCGACTCCCGACATGAGCCTTCGATCCATAGAAATACCGAAGAAGCCCTGATCTGCTAGGCGGTTCATTTCCGGTACCACAAATCGATCGATAGCAGCAGTATTGTGTTGACCGGTAAGCGAGAGAATGTGAGGAGCATCTGAAGCCCATTTCTGATACTCAAGCGGTATCTTCAAATTCGGTCTGCTGAAGAGGATAATTCTTGTGTCAGACCCACGACAAAGCCTTGCTAACGATGCAAGGAGCGTCTCAGTATCGCTGCACTCATCGATGCCATCAAGTACAAGAAAAGTGGGATGTTGCCGAAGTAGAAGGAGAAGAACATCGAGCACTTCATCAGAGGTGGCATGCTCTCGGAAGGACGTTTTCCGCAATAAAAGGCTGACAGTATCCAAAGTGGATCGGTCGTGCCGACGAACATGAAGCAGCTGGCATGCCATAGCCCGAAAGGCATCTTCAGATTGGTTGTTCTCGGATAGAAGGTGATTGAAATGATAGCTTGCAGTGGCCGGCGGTTCGTCGCACAGATCAGGATCGTCCGCTTCACCAGCTAGATTTTCAACGACTGAATGCGAGATGACGGTCTTCCCAAAGCCAGATTTCGCTGAGCTTTTGTCAGTTTGTAGAAAACCCGGAGTATGCGCGCGGCGACTTACCCTGTACAAACAGTACCCGATGTTGCCAGTTGCCGACTAAAGCTTCTTGGTCATTTGCCATGCTGCTATCAAAGCGCAAGCTCCTCCATTGGGCGTATGCAGCAACACGCAGGAACCAAGCGCAGGACTCTTGATAAGGTTGTTGGATGCCCGGAGACCGGGTGGCAATCAAGGTAGAAGACGACAGCCAGTGCTGTACTTTCTCCACTCTCCTCAAGCGCTTCGCCAGCCGTTGTTCCTTTTGCTCCACTCGACCGTTGACCGTAACTTCGTTTTGACGTTGCAAAAATTCGATATAACTTCTGCGGTGCTGTGAGATGTCCGCGTAGTATTGGGTCTGGTTCGCAGTTTCTGTTTCTAACCACCTCCTGTGCTGGCCTAGCCGTGTTTCAAGGTGGGCGAATCGGGAATCGAATGGTCGCCATAGTGTCTCACTGTGGAGGACGTTCCTACAGCTGACGGGCGTGCTTTGTGCTCCGCGACAGAAGATACAATATAGCTCCAAGAACAGCTGTACAAGATCCGCGTATACGCAAGACAGAAGTGCAGCCAGATGACGATCTCCAGCCTCGCCATGGGACTCGGCTCCGTTACGCTTGCAGATGTTGTAAACCTCTTGATAGGGTGGTATGATTTGCGAAACAGCTTCAAGTACATCGGCAATTTTCTCCAGGACAAGCACGCAGTCACCGCTCATCTGCTTCCGTGTTAGTCCAAGTTGCATGTAAAATGTACTACATGCATACCTTGAAGACTACACGAACAGTTGCCCAGAAATAGCCTGCCCATTCTGACTGCAATTCGACGCATGTGCCAAGGACATCGAAGTAGGGTGCAAAGGTGCGAATGAACAGTATAAACTTTCGACTGCATACGACTAATCTTCGGTCTGCCGACCCATTGCCAGCGGTAGTACGACGGATCTCTTCGAGCAGAAGTGTTGAGCTGATACGATGATCGAAATGTTGACGATGTTCTTGCAGTATGGTGTTGTGTGTTGCTTCTATGGCGTCATCAAAGAATGGATGGTCCAAGCTATATATTGTTAGCTACATCCAGGCCACCAGTGGTAGACTCACCTCGAATCAACCATTGCTACGTCCATGTTTTAAGCCTATTGCGACAGTTCTCGGATGGAATCGAACTTGAGCGCAGGCGTCTTCTCTGTAACGAATGCATTGGCACAAGATGTTAAAATGCACGTTGAACAATTCAGAGCGACGGCCACATGGTAAAGGCATGGAGGCGGCAGGGGCAGCGGTGTGTTAATGTAATAAGCATTCAACGTGCTCGATCTGATGGGACCCAAGCGAGAGCAATTACGGCCCTGCATGGAGCCACGGGAGAAGAAATGGGCGTCGTGGGGCTGAAAGGTTGCGGGAGATAAGCGGGATGTGTAAGAAGATGGTGAGTGAGTACCCGTCGCCACGCATGTCATGCCCCGGACACAAGGGAATTGACAGGCGTGGGGGAGCAGGCTTGAAAACGTGGGCGAGACGACAGGCCCATGCGGCAAGTCGCAAGTGGCAGATCGGAGCTGCATGCCGACGGGCGGGTAATCCCTTGTTCGTAATGAGTAAAAGAAACTCAAAAGGAACGTCTTTCAGGCGAGGCGTGGATCATGAACGAATAACATCTTGGGTATCTCCTCCAACGAGCTACATAGCCAACTGCTCGGCGCAACGGGTCTATAGTACAAAAAGTATTAGAAAGCGAGGTACTAGGGCGAATGCCACTAAAATTGTGGCTACCTGACTAGGCGGATGCGGGCATGCCGAGCCGAAGCGCAAGCAGCGCACGCACGTCGGTGACATACTGCAAGCCTTCGAGCAGCGGGATAAGATGCAGCAGATCGTGGTCTGTTGGGTCGCTGATCCAGCCTTCGATGGGAATGGCATTGTCTGGATGCACAATCAGTACGAGCACAAGTGGGCGCACTGGACGGAGGGTGAACTTACCAGGATGGAAAACGTAGCTCAAGGGGCTGTTATCAAGAATCATGACTTTGCTGAGATCGGGCTCGACCTGAGCAAGGTCCTTGATGTAAGCCCCGTTGCGAACAGTGCAGTGCTGTCGATAGTACCTGCCTGCAAAATACTTGCGCTCCACCTCCAGCCAGTCGATGACGGGATCTGCGTACTCCTGTACCGAGGCGGTGAATATGATCAGATTGTACCACTTACTAACCTGGTCGTTTCGTTAGTGTGGCATCAGGCGTGCCTGGCTGGTGTGCGTACCTTTTTCAGAAAATCGTCGCAATACGGCCGTTTGTGAACATAGTATAGGAGCGGCACCTGGGGACCTATAACCTGCCCGTCGGCGCCGACGGATGCCTGGAGTTTGACCTCTACCATGTGGCCCGTCTGGAAGCGACCGCCGTTGACTATGCTGTGGATCAAGGTCTCATCGAGATCGATGATGAGCGTCTTCTGGTGCGGCCCGACAGCGGATACGCCTTTAGCGGAGTACGAGGGCTGGCGGCGTGGCACGAGGGGGCGCGGGGGTTGGGGCGCTCGTGGGAACTTGGTCAATTGTTTCGAAGACGCGGTTGCCGGCCCAGTGGGGGACTTGAGGGAAGCGGCAGCCTCGGAGGAGACGGAGTTACTTTTGGACGATTGGGCCTTCTTCGCTGCCTTGCGTTGCCTCAAAGCGTCCTCATTGTGATGTAGCGTGATGCGTATCGACCTCTTGGCCGGGGCGATTTCGTCTGCTCGTGCGGTTGCGCTGGACTTGGAGCGGGTGTGGCGCGACGGGCTGTCGGTGTCTGGGTCGCGTGTGGGAGATCGCTCGCTCTCCGAGTCGGACGTCATGGCGGTCGAGGTTGATGCTATTGACAGTGATCGCCTCGTGGGTTGTTTCATGACGGGCTGCGCGACACTCGAACTGCGACTCTTGCGCGTGCCTTTCTCGCTACGGTCCGGGGCAGCCGAGGCTCGTGAAGCGTGCGCCGCAACCTTTTTCCGACGTCCGCGAGTGAATGTCCGCGAGATGTGGTAGATCGGGGCGAGAAAGGAGAAGTGGCCATCCTCTTCGTAGTAGAAGGCGGCCACAAGGCATTGCCCCGTATAGACAAAGGGGGTTGCGAGGACGCCCACGACCGCGACGATGCCGTCGGATATGCGCGACGGATACAGCCATCTCCTTCGCCGCTTGGTGTCTTCGTAGGGGCCCTCCTGGGTTTTCTCGAGTAGAGGTGTCTTTTCGTCGTATCCGGATGCGACCGCTTCCGTATTCGAGGAGCCGGAGCCGGAGCCGTCACTCCTGTCGGCGCCCATCTTGCGCGTCTCTCTCTGTGCAGCTATTGCACTCGCATCGTCAGCGGGAGATGAGATCGAGGGCCGAGGTTGGAGAATGGCGAAGGACTGTGGGGTAGCCTGGGTGCTGGGTGCGCTGATGCTTATGTCTGGGATGACGGTAGGACCTCCGTGACCGTGATGGTGGGGCTATTGGGAAGCGTGTACACAGCGACAGCGCAGTCAAGATGCTCGTCGAGCACTGGCGAAACTAGCAGCAGGCCGAGGCGTGACTTTGTCGAGAGAAGACGGGTATGCAGCTAAGCAGAAGGTTGGGGACATGCCAATGACGAACCGCTGGAGAGCCCGTGCCCAATCGGAACGCTCAAAGCTCAATTTAGTTACGACTCACACATTCCCTCCACCAAGTCTTGAACAAGCAACGCTCCCCAACAGTGCCTTACAAACAAAACACGCGTGGCCGATACTTTGAACCCCTAAAATTATACTGGTTGTCTGGAACCCTTTCAAACGCACACAGACACCCGCAGAGTCATCCAGGAACAACCCCACCACCCCACATAACTGCCATATACCGTTCGAAATCTTGGGACTCTCGACTACAAATCAGCAAATATCCCCACGATGCAGGGCGCGACGGTACAGGCGCCGGGTCTGTCAACCTACCTGAAGTCACTAAAGAGTACTCCAGTAGATGCCTCAGTGGAGCATTTCATCTCGTGAGACACGACTTTCCGCGCAGTAGCGCAACCACAACTAATATCCCTACCTCAGACTTCTCAAACGACGACAAATACGAAATTCGAGACCATGCGCCATTGCGACTACGGCCCTTCTTCTGCGCGTAGTGGGCGAGTTCAAGGGCAGGGATGCCGCCAAGCTCATTGAGCGCATAAAGCAAGTCGGCAGGCGGTTGACATCGGCGCAACCACACGAGGTGGTGGTGGGAAACATCGTACGGCGCGTACTGGGACTGGTGCGCGAGGTGGTCGACGAGCATGCCGAAGGGCAAACACCAACAGGCAGCGAGCCAGGCTACTCAACACCACATGCACACGCGCAGCACGATTCTCTCCACAGACCAGCGCTTAACTCGAGCATTTCCACATTCAGCCCTCTCCGGCATGCCGTTGCCGAACCCATGCCCACGAGCGTCTTCACCGACAACGCCTCCGACGTTAGCGAGCCCTCGAGACGGCCCCCGTTGCTCACCTCACACACCTCGTACGCGCCTACCTCGTCCGCTCCCCTCGTCCACTCGCTCTTTGGCCTCTTCTCCCAACCAGCAGATACACCCTCAACTACAAGCACCCCTACAGGGCAGGCGTCGCCAAATGGCAAGAGCACGCTGACGGCACTCAATCTGGAGCGCCTCGAGGGCATCAACAAGAGCCAAAATCTGGACCTGAAGGGCGAGGTCATGGAGGGCATAAGAGAACTTCAGGACGAACTCGAAACCTCAGACAAGCAGATTGCTGAAGTCGCCCTCGAGCACATCCACGCCAACGAAATTATCCTCACCCACACCGCGTCCACAACAGTACAGAAGTTCCTTCTGTTTGCCGCACGAAAACGCAAGTTCACAGTCGTGCACGCCGAGACGTATCCCCACGACCACACTGCCACGCATGGTATCCTTCTTACAGGCAAGAAGCGAGAAGCGAATCCAGATGACGACGAGGACGACGACAAGTGGAAGCCCCTCACCGATGCTGGTATCCAAGTCTACGTCATCCCAGACTCCCATGTCTTCGCCATAATGTCCCGCGTCAACAAGGTCATTCTGGCCACCCATACCGTATTAGCCAACGGCGGTCTGGTAGCCGCAGCTGGAGCACACATGATTGCAAAGGCTGCAAAGGAACACCAGACACCTGTTGTCGTGCTCAGTGGTGTATACAAGCTCAGCCCGGTCTACCCATTCGACATCGACGAGCTGATCGAGCACGGTGACGCCGGAAGTGTAGTTCCCTACGACGACGGCGAGTTCGTCGACAAGGTCGATGTTGAGAACCCACTGTACGACTATGTTCCCGCAGACCTTGTGGATCTCTACATCACCAACCTGTAAGTCGCGATTTGAACAGCTCGATGCATTGAATGTAAGCTAACGTCTTGTAGTGGCGGACACGCACCTTCATACCTCTACCGCATCGTAGCAGATCACTACCGCACCGAGGACATCACCTTGTAATTCAACCATGAGCCATGGCGTTATGATACCAACAAAAGTTAAGATGGGAAGCAAAGTGCGCACAATAGCCCATGTTACATCATCTAGAGAAGGAAACTCTGCGCTTGCAACATGCAGTGGCCGAAACCAATGAACATTACTACAAACGTATCGCCCATTCAGCTCACAGCACGTATGCGACCATCTTCATCATCGCCGACCCGTGCCCTCGCCCTCTGCCCGACCAACTAACATCTCCTACACACCCTTCTTCCCAATTGGCCGCGCCTTAGTGCCCCTCTGCAAGCACCCGTATCCCGCAGATCACCGACCCAATTCATTGGTCACCTAAGCTCTAGCAGTGTGCCCTTCGGCCATCTGAAATCAACGGTTTTTGTCAAAATTACCACGTTGGGCAGTTTGGCGGTCCGCCAGGGTGGGCCGGCGGGGCGGAAGGGCACAGTGGCGTTCTTAGTAAACAAGTACGGAGTCGCGATGTGCCCTTCGAGCCCTTGCGCGTGGGACTCGTCTTACTTTTGTTGAGATTTGGCCGTAGGCGCAGACACCTCATACCCAAAACGCCTGATGAATTAGGCTAGTTCGTAGAAGCGGTACAATTGTTCTTCGCGTATTCTAGCTCCAGCTCCCTCGAGCTGGGGTGTGCGGAAGAGGGGTCGATGTCCCCTCCACATGCTCAACTGAGCCTCGCTATCGCCATCTGCACTCAGGATTACGTATACACTTCCATCTCGATTGCGCGCGGAGAAATAACAGTATGCGACAAGTGCTAGCCGTTGCCCTCTTCGGAAGCTCCTCAAGGTGATAACGTAGGGCTTATCGTGGGTGCCGGGTCGGCTGTTGCTACATTACGTATGCGGGTGCGCATCTTGTGGAGCTGAGTTGATAGAGTAACAGCCTGAACTTGAACATCTGGCCGCAGAAGCAGTGAAGGCGTCGTCAAGGTGCATCATGTCGTTTCTCGAACTTGGGGGGTTGCATGTGTTTGTTACTGGGGCCGCCGGAGGAATTGGTAGTGCGATTGTAGATGAGTTCCTAGGTATGTAACGGTCTTGTGCCTTTGATGGTTGTCGGAGAGTCTTTGCACATTGAGTGAAGTCTGCAGGTTCCATGATAGGCTCAGGGTCTCTGTCAAGTCACCCTGCGGTGGAAGGCACTCTCTAGGGCTTCGGCCTACAAGACAAGGAATCAACGCCATCATCTTAATTGATGTTTCTACTCTTATGCAACCGTCACTAACGCCTGCATAGCACAAGGCTGTAAAGTCACTGCACACGATCTTCGCCCAAATCCTCTCGCCTCAACAAACCCCAACCTCCATTGCCTCCAAGGCGACATCAGTTCCGAAGCCTCCATCCAGGACTCCATATTCCAAGCTATCCACCATTTCTCGCAGCCTATCAGCATTCTCTGCGCCAACGCAGGCATCACAGATGAATCTTCCAGCTATCCTATCTGGGATATGCCCAGTGAGCTCTGGGACCGCACCTACGCTATCAACGTGCGTGGCACGTACCTGACCATTAAGCACTTCCTCAAATCCATCGAGAAATCACAAAACGACACTGGCAAGGAAATCGAAAATGTCAGTGTCGTTGTGACGGGGTCCGAATGTGGAGTCTTTGGTCAGGCAGGTCATGTGGAGTATGCGAGTGGGAAAGCAGGGCTACAATACGGTCTTGTGAAGACAGTGAAGAACGAGATTGTTAGGCTGAATAAGAGCGCCAGGATCAATGCCGTCGCGCCCGGATGGGTGGAGACCAAGTTGATTGAAGGGAGGTTGGACGACCCAGGGGAGATGTGGAGGGAGGCGAAGGCTACGTGAGTCTGACGCTCATACTGACTCTCCGATATTTTGCTAACAATTGCAGTGTACCACTCAGAAAAATCGCTCAACCGACTGACGTAGCGAGAGCAGCTGCTTTCCTGGCAAGTCATCGCGCTGCAGGTCACATCTCCGGACAATGTATATCTGTGGATGGTGGTATGGAAGGTCGCATTGTGTGGTCCGAGGAAGAAGTTCGCAAATCACAGGGAACTGCTGTCGAGCCCGAAACGCCGTCTCTCAACGCAACTGGTGAGGCCGAGATATTTGGTACCGCAACCGAAGGAGTCTCTCTAGCTAGCAGGACCCCCTCAGCAATGGCTATCCCAACCATGTCATCTCTTGGCAGCTCTCAACCAAAACAGAAGCCGAAGATCAAGATCCTGCTCTCTGTGGATTTCGACGCAGTATCGGGCTGGCTTGGTACCGGCCAACACCCAGATAATAACCTCGCGGACTACAGTACTGGCTTCTTCAGTGGCCACGTCGGAGTTCCACGACTACTCAAGCTCTTTGCGAAGCACGGCATCGCGAACAAAGTAACCTGGTTTGTGCCGATGCATAGTGCAGAATCTTTCCCAGGAGAGTTCGCCGCCATTAAGAGCAGCGGCGCGGAGATAGGCTTACATGGTTATTGCCACGAAGGCGCCCCTCAGCTTACGCCCACCCAAGAACGCGAAGTTCTCGAGCACTGTATAAGCCTCTACCAGGAACTACTAGGGAAGCGCCCACTGGGATATCGCGCACCGCTCTATCAACTCCGCGAAAGTACCGTGGAATTACTAGAGGAGTACTCTTTCCTCTATGACACCTCACTCTCCCACCACGACAGCACACCATACTACCTCCCCAATCTCCCACCCATCAAAGCGCCAAAGTACACCGAAGAGGCCTCCGCGAAAGACTGGATGAAACCCCTGCCTAAACCCAGTGCGCCCACAACTAAAACTCTCGTCGAGATTCCGGCAAACTGGTACACGGAAGATATGACGCCGCTTCAGTATCTTCCCAATGCACCCAACTCGCACGGCTACGTCGACGTTCGCGTCATGGAGAATATGTGGAAGGATAAGTTTGAGTGGATTAGGAGCGAAATGCTTGAGAGTAATGGGGAGAAAGATGTAGTGGTTTTCCCGTTGGTCTTGCATCCGGATACCAGTGGTATGGCGCATGTTATCGGCATGATTGAGAGGGTGATTAAGTGGCTGAAGGCGTGGGAAGGAGACGTGGAGTTCTGCACTTATGAGGAGGCAGCTGGGGAATGGAAGGAGAAGAATGCTGTAGAATGATTGGGATGCATCAACCTGAACATATAAATACAATTCTGGTATCTTACACATCGTCGGTCTCATAACTCCTTCATCTACTCCGAATTCTCCTCGTCATACAGTCTAATCACGCGTCCACCCTGCTCCGCAGCTTCCTCCCACTGTTCATCACCCCCTACTCCGATACTCTTGACGTTCAGCGTAATGAGACTAGAGCGGAAATCTGATCGTGCAGTTAGTCTAGGCGCCGTTTCTACATCTTCATAGCCCTCGGATGGCGTCACAAGAATCACGGTCTTGTCTTTGAGTGTCTGATCATCCATGATGACGAATTCCGTGCCTACGATACCATATCCTGCGCCTTCGAATTGCCATGCCAACTTGACTAAGTCGTTCAGTCCCCAGTTTAGGAATGGGTAGGAGAGGTTTTGCGGCACTGGGGCGCGCGTGGGCGAAGTGAGTTTGGTGATATCGGTCGTTTCGACGAGAATGGCTGGATGATCTTGATTAGCATGCGTTTCGCTTGAGAGTGTACTTGTTCCGTTTACCTATATGAGTGCAATCCACGGCCTTTAGCTCGGGCGCCTCGAAAGCCTCAATGAAAAACTCGTTAAGAAGCTAAGAATGATGTCAGTTATTTGCACCTTTTGGGATAATGGATCGTGGTTGTAACATCGCGAGGTATTCTTGCTGTGCAAAATATGGGAATAGTGTTATCCAGTTGATCGTTGTTCGCCATATTGCGTGCTACTACAGGTTTGGATTCACCTGGACTCGATCAGTTCCGACTTCCTTCTTCTGTCTGTCTGATCCATATATTTGACAGCCAAAAAGCCACCCTAGAACTTCTGAGAAAGAAAACCGATGTGTGTTTGTGTGCAGTGGATTACAGTCGTTGCTACCTAGGTACTGCTTATGGCTTTAGCCTAAAGTCGAATGATCGTGTAGCATGTGATCATCCATCGCCGCCATCTTGCTCTCATCAGTCAAGGTGTTTTATACGATCAAGGCGATCTACATTTGCGTGAGCTAACGAGAAACTAGGTAAGATTGGGTGCTCAGCTACTACAAGATTTGGACAGTGCACGTGTCTTCGCATTTGCTTGACCAGGAAAAATTTACGTACTTCTCTGCACCGGCTCAAATCCAAGGCCATATACCCAAAGACGCTGCCCTGAAATTTGACCTGAATGTGAATGCGAAGATCCTTCTTTCCAAAAGCCAGCTTAAGAGTGTCGGCGATTTCATGGTCGCTAAATTGCGAACAGGGTTCGCCCTCATCAATACAATAGACTGCGAGAACATGCTTCAGTGATGGAAAAAATCCAGTGTACATGTGTTCTCCAAACAGCTTCCCTAGAGACTCGCCATTATAGATATCTGCGAAATAGCACCATCGCTCCACCTCGTAACCGGGCATCTGAATCGATTGGATTGAGTTCCAAGGCTCTAAGTTGAGACAAATATTGCCCTCTTTTATATCATCGAGCACAAAGGTACTGATATCGAACACGGCCATTGTGTGGAAAGTTGAAGATGCTTCGTGGCGGAGTTGGCGACAGGTAGACAGTAGCGCTAGAGCTCCTCGGTGAATGCGAGCAAGAGCGTGTGGATGCGGCATTCTCATGCGGACTTGATTATCTGAGCACAAGTATTCGTAGACATTATTGCGGAGTTCGGCGGGGAGACGAAGTAGAGGTGAATTGCGCTGGTTCTTGGTTGTCCTGGGAGATCAGTAAAGGCCCTGGGGAAGAACCACGGAATTTGATTTGCTTACTTGTCCTCGAAGACAGCACAATATCTCATAGCGACATCGACGTCCATGATTGTGGATTAGTTTGAGAGTTACGTGTTGGTCGGTACGTCTAAAGGTCACGAAGTGTAGGACCTGGGTGGAGACGAGCAAACGGAGCTAGCGCAAAGACAGTCAGTCTCACTCTTGCCCTTGACGCTCTGTAACACAACTATAATATACGACAAGCGCCAAGTAATAGAACACCGACTAGAGAACTGTTGCAAAAATGAACAAAACGGCCTCTTTGAGAGTTTGCTCTGAGATTCCTGCCATGTCATACGCGAATACTTAGGTGAGGCAAAACGAGCCGTGGAAGTAAACATAATATGCGGTGAGTCTCATGGTTACTTGCATTCCGGCCGCATTGATACTACAGACTCTCGTCTTCGACCTATATCCGTGCCAACTACCTAGGCAGGCGCATCTCTACCCTCAATAGGCTATGTATAAGCACTTCACCTGATTGTCCATGGCAAGAACACCCCGTATCCTCTTCTACTTGTTCCTGCCATTCCCTACACCGACGACTGTCACCTCACACGGCTGGCATCACGTACCTTGCTACCTCTTCTTTCAGGGGAGCAGTGAGTCTACTGATGACGTTATCCCTGGAGCACTTCGGGTGGACATATTCGATTTCGACTCGCAACCTTGCCATTGATGCAAGAGGTAGACTTCGGAGAAACGGCAGCGACGGCTTGCACTCAGCACTGCTATACCGATAGAGTGCCGGAACTCTGAGGTCTATCCTGATCTCGATTTGTCGCAGTTCTACCATGCGTGGGAAGAGCCTAGCCAGGGTTTCGTACTGCATGCTGTCAGTGTTGAACTGCAGAGTCATCAGCGAACCTTCTTCTTGATACACGCCCTCCGTCGTCAGATTCATTACCGTTAAAAATCTCGCACGGGAGATTGTAGGATGCCTGCGTTTGCGATGCGTTTGCATGAGGCCTTGGGCGTGCAGTACGTCGTAGCGAGTATCCATGTCCATGTTGAAGCGAGCCAGATGGTAAAACTGCTCGGTAGCCTCCCGGTACATTTGCTTGCTTGAGCACATCCACGTTATCTGGTCTTTGTATGTATCTCGAATAAAAACCTTCTGGCCCTGGTATGTTACTCTGAGATGAGCTTTACTAACCATGAAAGCGTCGCATGAACTCCCAAGTGCGTGACGATAGATCTCGTTTCTTATCTCACGCGGGAGAATATCAAAGAAAGGACAGCTTGTATCATGTGAGGGATTCGCGTCGGCCGAACAGTTCTTGGTGACGTGTCTGCTTGGTTGAGTGGGGTTGGTCCTTAACCGGCAATTAGTGTTCCCGTCGCTATATGCGTCGCTCAGAATACCTAGGGTGTCTTCCAGATGGACCGGATAAGCGATGCGTCTCAGCTCTCGTGTGCTCGGCAAGCGTTGGAGTTCCAGGGGCATGTTGTGCTTCGAGGTGATTGAGGAGGTGGGATGTCTCTGCGAAAGAAGCGTGGATTAGGACTAGAGAAACTGAAGGGAACCAGACGGGTCGCGTTATGTAGGAACAGGAATGGATAATATTTTGTGAAGATAAGTAAGATCCAAAAGATGGTAATGGAGAAGACACAGCTTCCACCAGGACAAGAGATTAGACCGAATTTATAGTTCAGCTTCTGTACGAAGCCCCAGGCTACAGTCACAAAAACGACTCGGGTTTTTCGCAATTGCCGTTGCTATATGGAACGCGATATTTGGATCAATCAGGCGCCAGCTAGGCCTCGTCGGAGGCACGTGTGACTGCATTTCGTTGGCGGAGAAGATCTCGAGAGGTAGCAAAAGGTTGAGCCGCCCATACTGGATGGGAAATTGCTCTAGCCGAAGATTCTTGTAACGCAGGTAGAAAATTGAACACTTTCATGATTGCAAAGTCGAGTGATACAGTCGCAGATGATGCATGCAGGTCCAGCGCGCTAATCCCAGGGTCCAGGTCCAGATCTCCCCCACAAACGTCGTCATCCGTTCCGCCGACCCAAACAGTCCAACAACCCGGTTGCCTTGCCGCACGCGCGCAGGTATCCACGAAAGGCCACCTTTCAATCACCCGGCCTCTATTAACACATAATCCCGTCTAATCCTCTCCCACACAACATACACTCAAGTCCCCGAGTCCTTCAAACCCCGTACCAACTCGCGCAAAAGACACAGAAAAAGATGGAGAAACTCAAGGAAGCCGAAACAGTAGCAGCGCAACGCTTGCGCAAGACGTTCAAGTACCCGTCCGAATCCGACGATGAAGATACCGTAGAAGCGGGTATGGATGAACAAGGTATCCTTCCCTCTCCTCCATGCCCAATCCCCGCCTTGCTGACAGAACTCCACAGACCGCGCAGCCCTACTCCAAACCCTCAGCACACACGACACATCCACGACGCACACATATACGCTCTTCCTCCTTGCGCTACCCTTACTCCCCATACTCCTCTACATCCCGCGACTATTCGCCCTGTCCACCCTCCCGACCAGTCTAGTCTCTATCGCGAGTCTGCTAGCAACAGCGTATACGTTATATTTCCTGCCGCTACCGCCGACGCAGATGGAGCCAATCGATGGTGTGGACGTCACACCCTCGACACTCCAACAACCATCGAAAGGGAAAGGGCAGGCTAAGAAACCTCTGGGTGGATATGGAATCTACAACAAGACACCGTCGTGGGAACAACCGACTGAGAAGAGTGTAAGGCGGCCTGTACCGTACATATCGGAAGAGGCTGCGGATAAGATAGCGGATTCTATTGTGCCAATTAACAGGGCTGTGTGTGGGCTACTGGCGTTGTATGAGGTCTGGCAAGGGCGTGGCTGGGGTGAAGGGCTCATGGTGGGAGGAGGCTTCTTGCCGGGCGTAATATGCATGATCATCCTGTGGGCGAGGACGGAGTTGAGAATTATCGACATGGATACGTTGGAGAAGATGAACAAGGGTGCTGCACAGGGGAAAGCAAACTGAACACAGATAAACTGCGAGTTTTGGAGTTAAGTCATGGGACGGTCACGACTAAGATACCCATCCAGGAATGCATGTTCGGTTTTCTAGCTGTAATATCGATATCATTAGGTTGTATGTATTGGTGAAGGAATATGTCCGTGATCAATGTCATGTCGTGTCGAATGCAAAAGTCCAACGCTGCGCTGACTTATGCGGAGCTGTACCAAAGATGCCAAACCAACGCCGCGCTCGCTGAAAGTTACAGATTCCAAATTTCTCTTTTTGCGTAGCCAGCACTAGGCATATTATGGGCTAGCTTTTGGGACTTCAATGTCCGAGTCGATATCTATGCGTGTAATGTGCTCGAAGAGGTTTGAAGTTGATGGAAGAGGTTGCTAACCACGCTTCCAGAACTGGTAGTTCTTCTTTTGTGGCTTCTCGTTGGCTTCGCCGGCGACCATATTGGTGTCCCTGATGCCGCCTGCCTCTGTGCCAGCAGCGTCCATGTGGTACGCCTTTTCGTTGCCTCTCTTCTTGCCCTTCTTGACATCTCTCCTTGAGGCGCAGCAGCAGCAAAGCCCCATCTGTACTAGCCAGGCAAATATGGCGAAAGCACTTGCCACCCACATGAAGGCGAAGAGGGTGGTGCCTATCTCTGCCGATATGTTTAGCTCAGCCACACCACCGATAGTGTTGCGGAAGATGATGAACATGACGGTTGCGATGACCGAGGCGACGGTTACGAAGAGGGCGTTGAGGAAGGCGAGGATTGCGACGACGAGGGTAAGCCAGCGCGTGTAGATGGAGATGGGCATGACGAAGATGAGGACGAAAGACAAGACCGTTGCGGTGAGGAAGAGACCGAACATCCAGTTGGAGACGAGATGGATAAGGTCGAGAATGTCGTTGATGTCGGCGGGAAGGTTGACTGTAGACATGCATGTTAGTTACTCTGTTTCCAATGCATGATATCTAAGACTCGGGATGTGAAGCAGCTTACTCGAAGCCCCAGCAAGAAGCTCATTACGCAGGATTTGCACAGGATTGAACCAGTATAGCGTCTTTGGCTCACTGCAGAAAGTCACGCCCTCACCCGCGTATCCCTCGCAGAATCCCCATAGCCCAACTTGATAGAAATCATGCAGTCCGAGCGTTTGCGCGATAGTGTTGATAAGAGCGAAGTTCGGTACGCTGGCAGGCACGATGTGGCTCAGGTCGAGGCGGATGAAATACCAATTCTTAATAACGGCCTTGTTGCGTACACCGGAGATGTTGACCAGGATCAGGAAGATGAGTGTGATGAAGAGGAAGAAGGATGTGATGAGCGCCCATATTTTGCGTGTGCGAGTTGCGCGCTTGATTTGTTCTTTGCTGAGGTCTGGGGCGGTTTGCGTGACGGCGGTGTCGTCCGACTTGCGGCGGCGCGAGAAGATGCCCATGATGGACGACTCGGGGATTTCCAGGCGTTGAAAGGGAGAAGAAGCAAGGCGTGCTGCAGCGGAGGATTGTGAGAGAAGAAAGTGAACAAGCAATGACCGGGTCTCAGACGAACGACGTAGAGAGCGAAGATCCGAAACGTTTCGTCGATTGAATGTCCAGGCCAAGAATGCCTTGAATCCGGGGCAACGCAATCTCCTACGCGCGTGCAGCAGCAGTAGTCGTGTATTTTATGGAGCCTGGTCGAAGATCGCGAGCTATGACGTACGGGACCCCTAACAGCAAAACTAGACACCGCAAGAAGGCGCTGGCGACGCGGCGCCCTTCTCACCAACGACACACATCGGCACTAGGCCACGCGCCTAAGACACCAGAGGGCAAATCACTGCGCGCGACTGAAGCACCGGCGTGGCGCACGTTTGCTATGAGCATGGTCTGGCCGGTACGCGCGTGCGTGGCTGGTCATGACGTCGCGCTGGGCACTGTTTACTGGTGATCTTTGGGGGTGGAGTTGGCTACTGTGTGGCTGTGCATGCTCTACTATGGTGTGGATAAAATGGAGGACAATGTATGTAAGAGTGAGATTCTCGCGGGTAATAGAGGAGCGGCGTCGATGATCTACATACGTGGATAATTCTCTCGATGATGGCGCAGGCGGATGCGGAAGGATGCGAAATTGCGCTAGGCTTCGGATCTGCGCGGCCAGACAGAGGGGGCATCGCGAATCCACACTATTGCATGGCTCGACGTTGAGGCTCCTTACTAGACAAACTCGTGTTCGGGCGGCTGGCATCACTAGTTACGTCTAATGCACAACATCACGCGTGGCCAGTACGATGCGCTTCAAGTAATGTTTTTTCTTTCCATTCCTCTATGTGCTCTGCTAGATGTTCCACAATCACTCAAGCCTCCACGGTCTCCAAACCACCAAGCTGCCCTCCACATCTCAACTTCGCCATGTCGCAGCAACGCAGAAGAATAAAAATTAGACATTGGTAAACGCCAGCCCATCGCTAAACCGCCCTAGAAACGAGTAATCTGCCGGTCATTCGTTGCACAACCGCGATGGAGAAAAATAGGAAAGCGTACTAGACGGACCGTCTGTACAGGTTGTTGCTGTGATGTGAAGATGGAGGGTAGCCAACGCGCGCTGTGTCTATGCCACGATACCAAGGAAATCATCAAGGCCGCTAAAAAGCAGTGTATAGAGAACAAGTTGACATAATGAGCTTTTAATGTTCGGTCGAGTATGCGGAAAGCTCAGCCAGCGAGCAGGATATCTGTCGTCAAAAATGTGTGCTGAGGAAGTCGCGACTAGTTTAGGCGCCCTCTACCATGTTCATCCTGGGTTTTAATTGCACCATGAAGTCATCCTTGGTACCCAGAACGTCCCTTGGTATCCTGCTGACACGGTTGGCTCCGCTGCGAACAGCAAATCGGCCAACTGCCGAGATGCCAGAGTGGTTTGATCGGATTGAGCCAGCATCTGAGGCACCGCCACCGGCAGGGTCACGTATACGAGCAGGTGGTGCGAAATCGAGCGCAGTGAAGGTACCCGACTTGCGCATCAAGTAGGGACTGGGTAGCGCTGGCAGTTCGTCGTAGGATCCGACGAGGGGTGTGTGTGGTCGTACGGCCGGGCTGTATGGCCTTGGAGTTCCAAGAGGGCTGTCAGGTCGTACGCCGTTTTGCCTCTCGCGGAACGAGACTGGCGGTGCAAAGTCGGCGGCGTCGAAAACCATGGAGCTCTCGGTAAGCTTAGCGGGTGTTGGGAGAGAGGACAAAGCGGATGGAGGAGGCAGCGGCTTCTTCATTGGCGGAGGCAAGCGTCCGCTCATTGAAGACATGCCACGCGGAGGTGGATATTGTGAGGAAGCCATGGAGCCGTTTGACATGTGCGGGCCTCGAGGACCAGTGGCAGTGTTGCTTCGGAACCGGGGAGGAGCACGCGGGGGAGGAGTCATGGCACGACGAGTGATGGGCTCAGCGAACGGAGCGTTCGGCTGAGCGACAACGAAGGCACCGGTGCGAGGGTCGAAGACAGTGCCGTCTTGGTACTCCGAGCCGTAGTCTTCAACGTAATCGGTGTATTGGTGGCCGCCAGCAGGCTCAGGCTTCGAGTCGTCAAAGTATTCCTTGTAGAAAGATCGGATACGGTTGGCGCGCTCCTCGGGGTTCTCCTGAGGGTCATCGGAAGGCATGGGACGGAGGCTCATGGACAGACGGTTAGAGCTGGGGGCGAAATCGTCGACTCCAAGACCAACGTTCTGGGGACCAGTCGAGTAGCGAGGCTTAGGTGCAACAATCTTGGGTCCCTCGCTTTCCTTGGGAGACGGCGGTGTGATTTGGAAACCATCGCCGTAGCTCGAAGTGCTGATGATGCTGTGCGTGTTGGTGTTCTCTAACACAACAGCTTGGGACTTAACGCGTGGCAATGTGGGGATGTCGTTGGTGGTCTGGACGGGTGACTTGCTGACTTGCTTCTCGGTGACACCAGGCTCAGGAATGGAGATGGTGGGAACATCGGTGGGCTTGAAGGCGGCGTATTGGGTGGTGGGCTCATCTGAAGGCGAGGTGGCTGACGGAGGCGAGATGGGAGACGACTTTTCTTCAAACCGTGGGTTTAAAGGACTGAGAGGAATACCCGCCTCAGGGAACTTGCTGTCTGGGGATCGCGAACTGTCAGGGGACAGAGACTCGCCGCGAATGGGGTGCGAGGTCGACATCCTCTGTGCATTCTGAAGAAGGCCAGCCTGAAGACCTTCCTTCCTTGTTCCTGCGCTTGAAGTGGTGTACATAGATCTGGCGTCGTTTCCATAGGGGCCGCGGCTTGCGCTGCGGATGCTCTGGTCGTCCTTCAGATAGGCTACGGGGCCGTAGGGGTCGTGAGGATCGTGCTGCGAACGCGATAACGAGTGGAACGACTCCCGAGAGCCATGCAGGCCGACGGGCAGAATGTACGGGCTTCCAGTCTCGATCGAGAGACCTCGATCGTGGCCTCCAGGGATTTCCTTCTCTGACACGCTCATCTCAGGACCTCCCTTCTTTCCGGCCTTGGCGACACCCTCCATGCCCCAGTCGTGAGACTTGTACTTGTCTTTGGAGTCTTCCTCTGCGAGCTTCCTCTTGTTCCTGCGATGTAAAAAGAATAGCACGATCGTTACACCGACGACAGGTACACTACATGCCGTTAGCGCATTCAAAGCTGAACAGACAGCCAACTCACATGATAGCCAGTGCAATAGCAATGGTTGGTACTTGGGTTGGCTTGGTGCAGCCAGGATCGCTGTCGTTGGTACATGTTGCGCTGGCGCGGGCCACCAGTACACGTGAGGCTCGTTCAGCTAGTTGGATCGTCTGGCTTGCACTGCTGGGAGAGCCAACGTGGATGTCGCGGTGCACATGGTGCATGTGTTGGTGATGTGAGTGCGGCATGGCTCTAAGACCGATGTCGCATGTGAGGTCGCAATCGATAGAGCTAGTAATGGATCCGGGGAAGCTCGTCCTTGGTATTGTCGACGTGACGCTACGATGCAGGTATTAACAACGTGAAGTCGTAACTCAGTCGTGACAGCTAGCTGGCAGAATAGTATATGCGAAACTCGTTCCGGGGTAGTCGAGGAGTGAGCGGACGGCAATAGCCAAGGTGACAGCAACACAAGCAAACAAACTTCGGCCCAAAAAAGAATGACTGGGGTAAGATACGATAGAGCTGCGAAGGGTGCTGGTGGTGGTTGCAAAAAGAGCGACAAGCCCACGGAGAGGTGAGTTGAAGGAAAGAAGACGGATGGGCGCGAAGGGTAGATGAGGCGCCGCACAGGAGCCTGATCTCCGGTTCTGGCTGACAGGCCTCCTGATTGGGCGGCTGTCTCAAGCCTTGCACGGGTCAGGCCTGTTACGCCGAAGCAGAGAGTGAAGGGCCCGCGTTCGTCCCTAGGCGCAGCCACACGTTTGACCTTGAGCCGGCCCGCTGATTGCATTCACGCCCTCACCCACCGCCAGCTGCGTCCCGACGTCTTCACTGCTATCGTGTCTCTCTGCACGCAATCGATAGAGCTATCGTCGTATTTTCCCAGCTGCACATCCACCCGTCAGCTGCACCCGAAACCCCTACTGGCCTGCAGCTTCAGGAGGCGGCTAGGCCGCACCGTTTATTTTGGATCGCGCCCGTGCGGACCCGCTAGCCGCAATGGGCGTCGCTACTGCAGGAACCCTTTCGTGAACTTCCGTCATTCGTCGGTTCTTCTTCAACAACAGATTGTCGACCAGGGCTCCCGTTGTGAGCTCCAGGCCATACGACCGCTCAGAAGCGCCCTGGGCCCCTGAACCATACTATGTACACGCGAACGCCCGTCTCTCCACGCTGCAGCGTCGTGCTACGTTCCCTGATGTACAACAGCTCAGCGATCTTTTTTCGCTGCATAGCCACTCTCGTCCTCTGGTCGCCCAGGACCCGCAAAAACACAATCCTCCCCCTTTCCGATGCTGTGGAGCTCAAGCTGGTCCAGAACAAACCCGCTCCACGCTGTCTTCATTTCCCGATCCCGCAGCGGCCGAGCGTTGGTTGTGCACGACCTGCGACGGCCTTGCGTTCTGCATGTAGGCTCCCCCGAGCCCGCTTCCGCTTAACAACCGTCATTTATCGAGATTGTGCCCTTCACCCGTCATATTTGTTCTGCTCCCCTTTTGACATGTGAAACTCTTCGCAGCTTTGTGAAACTCATAGGCATTGAATGCGCAGAATGGGGTTGCAGTCGTGCATCGCTTTCTGTACGACGACTGTTGAGGCACGAAGGAACAGCCAAATCTGCCTCACCGCCACGAGCCTCGCCCTACGAGACCCCTTCATCACTAGGGAGATTACCCGTCTTTCGCCATCGGAATCGCCATCAAAATCGGCTTCTGGTGTTTGATGAGCGCATGGTTACCGGCATAATGTCTAGGCCTTTACTACAGCCTCGCGTGTACGGCTTTGTTGTCGGGAGATTACTCCATGTGATGTCATGTTGGACGACAGTGCACTTGAGTAATTCATCGTTAACTTTCAGTTTTGAGTCTACTTGTTAGTGAAAGGGTATATCCTCGTCGCGCACGTACGCATCGAGAACGACTCTTTGCGAATCTTGAATCATGAATCGATCGACAGTGGTGTGAACTGTAACCCTAAGCGCCAGAAAGTGGGTTGTACGACAAGTGTCACAACTTAGACTTCGTGGCAGGCGACCTTCACCTTTCCATGCGTTTTGGGATCTACGTATTCCTGGTGGAATATCTCGTTGCTTGTTTTCCGACTTTTGGGCATATGGACGATCAACAACTACTGTCGTTGGGGGTTCCATGCCCATTGCGGTTCGAAACAAACGGACGTACACCGGCACCTCGAAATGCAATCAGTGCCGGTGGGCCAGCTTCCAGTAATCCCCAGAACGCGATGTCATGGGATCTTCTGCAGACTAAGGTAGACAGAGGTCGGCTTTACATAATCCCAATGGATCTGGGGATACCAGGTTCATTTTTTACTTGATTGATTCGGCCATATGCCTTCTGAGATCCATGCAAGGGTTGATTCAATGAAAGACGTTTGCCTGTGAAAGAATCCTTCGATCGCTTCGATAACCACGCGCTTGCAAAGATCCGAATCGGGAGGCGTGAGCTTATATGGTACGGAATGATTGGAATACCAGAGAATAATTTTTGCACGCATTAATGACGGGCTGGTTCGAGAGCCAAGATTTCATCATTCCCGACGGCGTAGATGTTTATGTTGTCACACCGTTCTTGATTTAATGAGTAGAAGTCGGTGGCGTTGGTATTGAGTGCTTCGAAGGGGATATATCGGCTTCAGACGCTGCCGGACATTCTCTTCTTTGTCGAACCTTTGATTGGGTCATATCGTAGGCGCCCATGTTCGGCAAAATTCCAGCGGGGACTGTGATCGATTGTATAGCGTCTGCGTAGAAGTCGTGAGATGCCTGGAAAGTGAGCCAATGCCCGCTGGATATTGGGAGCGACTCTGTTTGAAGATATAGCGAAAGCCAATTCGGTTGCATCCGGGTTCCTAGTATGTCGTGACTGTAACACCTTAGCATGTATCCTCGAGCTGATGTTAGCATGCTTTGGTGATGCAATAGCTTTGTGGTGTTGATTACACGGGCAAACTCCGTCTCGCGAAGTGCAACGCAATTACTTCCTGCTCATCCGTACACGGCTAAGATCGTGTTCGCAGAACCTTTAAAGCCGTCAGAAGGAGCTCCAACGTAACAACTGATCTGTGCAGGCTCGTGATTGTGGTATACACAACTGCCGGATGTTCGAAAGAGGTGGGCTTCCTCGCGAGTCAAACCGCATGCTCTTGCTAGCACCAACGATGATGTCCGCGGACGGGTAGTGGAGGGTCCCTCATGACGAAAAAGAAAATATAGCATAGCTAGCCGTGCAGCAGTATATATGCAGCGTGACCTGGGTCACGCCGCACGACGTGGGCTTGCAAGTGTGCGGCCATACAGCATTAGCGATGGAAGCCGACAGAAGCGATCGTGGGGACAGAACGTGGCTGGCCAGGAGCGGGTTTCACCGAAGAAGTACCGATTGACTATGACGCATTGGCCATTCTCCTCTCACGAGACAAATCACCATCGAACAACGAAGACATACATGCAACACGACATTGACCTGTTACCGACTCGCTGCTCACCCTTCACACCCTCTTGCTACTTTCTTTGATTACATTAACCACCACTCCGCCCAAGCTCTGACGTTGGATCTCGATAAGGGCTCATCCCCAGCCCTGCAGCTCGCGATTCCCTTTGGTCCCTGCGCTGCGTAGCTACGCCCCACTGCCACCCCAACTTCTTAAGGGTCCGATCTCCCTACACAAGCCGCACCAGCAACATGTCGCACTTCACCAATATGGCCGCCCCGCACACGCTATCTCCCAGGAGTGCCACACCAAGCTCTGGGAGCCGAACGATGGAGGTTCGACCTCAGCCCGTATTGCGTCTGTCAGCACCTTCCGGTGTGCTTCGTCTACGCGCAGAGCCATCAGAACGCCGACACATTCAATGGGCCGAAGACGTGGTCGACAACGAAGGCATGGGCAAGAAATCTTCCAAAGGTACGGTGATCTACTTCGCGCAATGCTGTTATAGCAGAGGCTAACAAATCTGAAGTTTGCTGCATCTACCACAAACCCCGCGCCGCTGACGAGTCTTCTGACGACGACTCCTCGGACTCATCGTCAGACTCAGATTCCGACTCCGAGCCCGACAACAGCACTGCAAGGCCTGCTGGGCGGATGGGTGGAGCGCGCGGCAGACGGCCACATCAACATGCTCACGACGATTGTGAGGACGTCCACGATCACGGCGAGGGCTCTAGTACCCCGCAAAAGCACAAGCGCCAACGGAGGAAGCCAAGCCCAAATGCCTACGAGAAGATGCCGAAGCAGAAGAAGTAAGCTGCGCTCTAGCTGGTAAATTTCCGGTGCCCACTGGGGGTTGGTCAGTACGACTTGAAAACGATTTTCATTGCTTGGAGTTACGGGTGTCCATGAGGCACATCATGATTTGGACTGCGTCATTGCATAGCGCTGGGAAAGGACTTGGATAGTCCGCAAAACGTCGCCTTTTGTGGCTGGACGTGAGACATTAGATGCAACTGAGCATTGTCTTGTAGCATTAGAATTGCACATGCGAGGCTGAGAGCCTCAATTCCTACTAAACGCCTTCTCATCCTCCTTGTCTCTGATTGGTACAATCTTCACCGTTCTTCCATGTACACGCTGTTCTGCAGGTGTGAAACCAATTGCAGAAGACGTTGGGCCCCGCTGCATGTATCTCTCATGGCAAGACGTCTTTACTCGCTATGTCTTGCGGATCAAAGTACGAAGACATGCACGTTCAGCCGATCACGCGTCGATTATCGCCCTTGTCGACTACCCTTACTCGTAGAGTTTCCGGCAGCGCGAAAACTCAATCAGAAGTTAACCCACGTGTCAAGACCGCTCAGTCCTCTGCAGTAGCTGCATTCGCCTGTTCTATCACCGCAGGAGCGTGTTGTGTAGGAATGCGGACAAGCGTCTGGGGCAATGGTGGCCCATCCTCTGCCTTCTTTTCCGTCTCATCCTCGTCTTTCGGTTTTGGAAGTTTTGCTTTTTCGCATTAGTGCTTGCTGGATTTGTGAGAATGGAGAACATACTTGACGCCATGTTTATAGCTCTTAGCACATTATGCCAGTTTGATAGCACTGCTGCGACCGCTGATAAACCGCAACGTTAGTATGATGTTCCCATCGTGCCGGCTGCGAGACCTATCGATCCAGCTTTCTGCGTGCAACGCCTGACATACCTTCTGTTCCATCTGACAATGTCGATAGCTTGTCAGCGAGCATCTGCATCTGGTCTGCAAGCCCTCCGCTTAGCGCTTGCAAGTCCTTCAAGTTGGCTAATTCGGCTTTCTTTTCTGCAATGCGCGCGAGCAACACGGGGGATTGTTGCTGGGACCCGCCCATGGACTGGTTGCGGAGATGCGAGGGAAGCGGCCGTGTGAAGTTTGACATATTTCTTAATCGGTCAACTTTAGTTGACGTGGTCTGATTTGTGGTTGACGAAGTCGAGGTCGGCAATAGTAGGGAGGTGTTTTTGAATGTGTAGATGCGTCAACAGGAGGAAAGTCTGCCCCGAGGAACACGTGAAAACTGACGTGTCGAGCTTTTGCGTTTTTTCGTCTGGTGAGATACGCATGCTATCGCCACATCAAATGCTGCCCTGCTGCATTGGTGAACGCGTTCGTGCCCCTCTCGTCACGTGGACGCGCCCTTGGCGCTAACCCGTCTGAACTTAGCTTTGTTGCTATGTAAACATGCAATGACGAACATAGAAGGAACACCTACCGACGCCCTAGAGTAGCAACGCCACGACAACTGCGCGACCGTCTACAATACTATAATTAATCTCGACATACCTATCTGCGCATATGGCGCGTCTCAACGAGCCGCCGATTGCACCCCAGCCGTCGGCGGAATCCATCGAAGCCCTCAAACGACGCTTTTTGAGGCAAAACCGCGAACTCGCAAAGACGAATTCGATCCAATCTATCCGCATCCGCAGCCTCGAAACCGACTGCTCGCGACTTCTTGCCGAGAATTTGGCATTGCGCGAGCAAGTCTTGAATCTCCATAACACGATTGAGTCGCGTCCGGTACTCGACCAATTTGATGTTGTCAAAACACAGCTTGAAGCCAAGCTATCAGAGCTCAGCAGCCTGGTAGCTGGCCTATCGCAAACAAGAAGTGGGAGTGGGAAAGACAGAGGAAGACGGAAAAGCCAGATGACTGCGAAGAGGAAGAGCGGAGAAGAGCGGCAATGGAGGAGTGGACTGGGTCTACAGGAGGTTGAGAACGCCATGCTGCCTACTATCACGGAAGACAAGTACTATCCTCGCAGGACAATGGGGTACGTCTGGATCGCGTTCCAAGCAGCGACACGTACAGACGCGCATGAAGCTAACTTCTTGTAGTGCGGACGAGCTTCAGCAGACCTTAGAAGACCCAGATAGTCAATCCCCAGACATTGGCCCTCCGCCAGTTGCCCGATTCGAAGACGAAGACCCCATCGGTTTCGACCCCAGCCCCGCGATAGAAGAACAGCGAGAAGAAGCTGCAGACGACGGTGAACCTGCACTATCGGTGAACCTCGAGACGCGTAAGAAGCGACGCGAGAGCGGGCCCAAGCTCAATATACGTCGTGTATCTCTCTTCGAATCACCGGAAGAGTCTGAAGAGCCAGTCGCGAAGCCTCTGCGCACTGGGGCCAAGCGGAAGTTCAGCGTTCAAGAGGATGAGGAAGTGAACCAAGCCAAGAGTGATGCTTTCAGGTTCAGCCGCCGGAATGCCCCAGGTGCTTCGGACGTGGAGGCGTCAAATGATGACTCTAGACCTTCTGCACTAGAACGCCCTCCCGTCCTTTCAGCTAGTAAGTACCCCCAAAGCAATAGTGTGTACAAATCTGACTTGGTAGAACCCGTCAATACCGATCCAGTCTTGTCGCCAAAGAAGCAACGCTCTTCAGGTCAAGACAAACCAGATAAGCCAGACAAGCCAGCACCTAAGGCTCGCAGCCGCCCTCGATTGAATATCACGCGCAACACGACGTCAGAACTCCCGCTTCTACCAATGCCTGAACCTGTGCCTACTGCTGAGATTGTGCTTGACTCTCTACCCCCGAAAACACCCGCCGTGGAAGAGACCTTCTCTCCACCATCTACAGAGCCGTCGACACAACGACCAGACAACAAGGATACACCACCACCAGGGGATCTCAACTCAGTAGATCAGACCGGTCAAGCCGGACGACCGGGTAGACGAGCCCGTCCCCAAGTCAGTTACAAAGAGCCCAGTCTCAATGTGAAGATGCGGCGTCCAGACGCCAAGCTGGTCGACGCGGTGATCGATCGCAGGGCCAGTGTAGATACTCAGAATGTACCTTCTACATTGGTCAAACGGGACGCCGATGGCGAAATCGCGTGGAAGCCGGTATCGGCAGTCACTCAACCGAGGGGCGAGGAAGAAGCTGAAGCTGGAAGCCCGTTGAGACAGAAGCTTGACCGGAACCAAGATTCCAAAGCATCGCCCGCGTCAATGGCTGAGCCAGAAGAACGATCAACGACCTCGAAAGCCATCTCCGCGCTCATTACAGAGACTAGCACTGCTAAGAGAAGAGTGGCTACTTCAACTGCAGGACCAGTGTCGGAGCCTCTCACCGCCAAATCTGCAGATCTTGCCCTCTCAAGCAAAGATACGATAGCTGTGAGACAAGCACCACCAGAGAAGGACACTTTGGCTGTATTCGACTTCACGGACTCGTCACCTGCTGACACTGGGTCCAACCCACGTGCCCGCGTCAACGAACTTGCCAAAACAGCGAGAAGCGCACGGCGACACTCCGCTATGCCTACATCTTCCTCGTCATCGGTGTCGGACGAGCGCAGAGCTGAAAGGGAGAAGACTGAGGGCGCGCTCCCTTCTTTGCATAAGCGCACTGGCAGCGGAAATGTGAAAAGTAGTAGTAGTACGAGCTTAGCGAGAAGCAACAGTACTAATGGTATTGCTAGGAGTACGTCGAGTGCTCGAACGACAGTAAAAGACAAGAAGCCTCCCACTGTAGGAAGCTTACCAGCCAATGCCAGCACGAACGACCTCGGGACGAAGGTCGATGGTGTGGAGGACGCAAAAGTACGGGATAGAGAGAGGGAGACGAGCACGCTGAGAGCCGAACGCGCCGCTAGTCGACGGAAAAGTATGATGCTTTAGGGATAAGTGCAGAGTGCAATGTAGACATGGAGGCGTTTTTCTGGTGTATTGGCGTTCTGGGGGGCATGACATGAGCCCTTTCTCCATAGCGGCGGCGTTTCTTTGCGAATGATACCTGATCTCGCGAGATCGTCTCTGGTTTAGTGTAATCGGATCGCCTTATGATCATTATGAAGTCTGATGTAACGTTGCGTTCTACGATTTTTTACCTCGTTGTTCTTGATGGCATAGTCTTTACACATTTGTGATTCACAATGTTGCCTCTTCGAAGAGATTCTCGTGGGTCGTTCTTGTGTAACTTTGCATCATCGACTGCGTATGGGATTGCACTCATTGCTTTAGTTAGCGGGAACATAGCTATGGAAGAGTCTTTCTGTTAGCAAACTACACGCAGACAAGAGTGATTGGTGGTGATGATGTAAGTGATTGTATTGTTGTTCGATATATGTCTCTCCCTCCAAACGCGTCTCTTGCCTTCCCTCGATATGACGAAACGAGTGTCCAGTCCCTTTGCTCGAAACAGTCTCTCTTTGAATGCCACATCTAACGGCTCCTGTCCTCGTACCAATCCTTGCTCCCATTGTTGCTGAAGACCCTCTTGAAGCCCTTGGAAACAGCGTCAGTGACGCTAAAGTCATTGAAGAGCCACTGGTTGCTGTGTCGGCCATAGTACTTGAACTCCTTAGCTTCCTCGCTCTTCGCACTCCTGCCGCTGCCAACGCTGCTTTGGGTGTTCCTGCGGCTGCGCTTGTGAACGCGCGGCTTGCTGAACTCGCCTGGCGCGACGCCGACACTTTCAGCGTGCGTCTTGGAGCTGGGCTCAGCATGCATGACGCGGAGACCAGAGTACTGCGAGTACTGGGAGTCGTTGGTGTCCGTGGTGGACGTTGTTGCTGACTTGGTGAAACGGAGCATGATGCCGCTGTCAATAGAGGTGGATCGGGGACGTCGCTGGGACAGAACTGAATCGGAGGCGGTATCTCCATTGGTTTTGGTGGTGGAGTTGTTGTTGGATTTGTTTTCGAACGAGACAAGCCTTGAAGTCAAGTCTTGTGCGTCGATGCGTTGGTTGTTGTAGTCAGTCATCGGCAGGATGGTCGGGGACTGAGTGGTAAAGGTGATGACGTTGGGGTCTTGGTTGATAGTGGAGTGTGTTTGATAGTCTCGAATCTTGTCTGACTTTGATGTTGAGGCTATTGGTTTGGAACTGATGCTCGTAGGTGGTGCTACCATCGATTGTGGCAGTGTATGCTAGGGGTATTACTCGAGTATATATGCTTTCTCTCAGAGCCCGCCAAGACTACGTCCTTCACCTCAAAATGCAGTCAAGACTTATTCCCGCTCCCAAGCCTCTTGGGTGGAGTCACGGGCTCGACGTAGGGGAAGTCGGCTCGGCACAAACGTCTATCTTGGCCCAACCATAAGCTTCATCCAACGCTAACAACCCACTTTATCCTGCAGTGTTCTCAGTCTCGTTCGGTTAAACGCTATCGTACGCCAAATACGAGAACACATGACCTCTAACCCTTGCGCGTAACGGTCAGCCTTACGGCTGTATCGGCACGCAAAGAGACCGTGCTCTAGCCACAGCAAGCCACACCCAATCCCCGGTTCAGTAGCAACACATTATGCAAGGCCGCGAATGCATGCTCCTGCAGCATGACATCGTTTTTACTAGCCACGGCTGGGCGAGACTCCGATCTTTCCGGCTAGCCACTTAGAGATCTAGCTGTGGCTTGTGAGCTGTGGCTCGTGAAGAATTCAACAACATTAGTCTCGGCCTTGCGGCCTGAAGAGTTGAGCCGCAAGAGTCGGTCAAGCCACACGACGTTGAAGGGCCCTCAAAGTGGACACTAGCTGGATTGAAGTGCTCAATAGATTCGTCAGGAATTGAATGCGTTGCCAGCGTTCCACGCTGTAGCCAAAAAGAAGATGTAATCTTCGGTGACAGATGATATCGACGAATATCAATAAATGCAAGGGCTGAGCGCTGATGTACCTCGAGCGCAAGGATCAACTTTTGATAAGAAGCCCCGAAACGTTGGACACGTCTCGAGCAGTCGCCGACGATGTGCTATCCGTGCTCGACATCAGGTTCTGACGCGCGTCAGGATGCATGGAGGATGACGTGCAGAAGGAGACAAGGAAAGAGCTTGCAGCCAAAGCTACTTTGTGGACTTGGAAGGACCATGAGGCGCTAAAGAATTTTGACCATAGAAAAACAGGAGTAGGAAGCTGCATCTGACTGGAAATGGCTTCGCTTGCCAGCCGAAACGCAGCTTCGATTCTTGAAAGTTAACATTCGAAGCTAAGCTTTCTCTACAGAAGCACAATATCATAACTTGTGTCGTAGTATAAGAACAACGCCATACGCCGCATCATCGTAATGGGTATATGGATATCAGAAACACCTGCCAGCGCCGCGCATTGTAATTCAAGCACCAGTTCATACACCTGGGACACCTCCCTTGCTCCGAATGCGCCCGTCCTTGACCGAGCCTATTGTGACACCTGCTTCGCCAGTCATCCAACCTGGCATCTTCTCACCATCTACAATACCCTCTTCAACCAGTTGTCTGATGCCAGCGAAAACATGCGTTCCTTGAAAAGCGACTCGCACATTCGGTACCCAGCCTTCTTCGCTTCGTATTTCCTCAATATCTTCCGCGGTTCTATCGAGAAGGGAAGGACGGCCACGTCGTGCCTGGTGAGAAGTCTGGGCATCGAGGTTCGATGTATCACCGTCTACTTGCGTCGCAGTGCTGCCATTGACGGGAGACGGGAATGGGTCATCAATGCGAACTTCGACTCGTTCAAGGCCTTGACCATCGTCGGGCTGCGCCGAGCTACCGAACCGGCCAGCGGCTATCTCTTTTCTACGTTTGGCCTCTGAAGACTCTTTGTCGTCCAGTGGTCGCTTAGGCCTGCCTGGCCCAGTCTTGGGTCCACCGGCGGCACTGGCTTTTTCGCCTGCACTCTTCTCTTGTCCGTCGCCTTTTTGTGTGGTAATGAAATCTAGCGCATTCTGGCTGAAACTATGATCCTGAAAGATGCTCCAACCACCTGCTGCTGCATTGCTCTTGCCGGGACCGCGATACGTGAGCAGCGCATCGAGTGACTTGGTAGTGAAGTTTGTGCTTGTCAACTGGTAACGCGCAGAAGGTCTCGAGAAGGCTTTCGGTATTGCTTGTTGCACGATGTCCCTCAGATGCCGCCCCTCATCTCCGACGACCTGGCCGGTGAGCGTTGCTAGCGACGAATATACAAAAGGCGAGCCATTTGGCCAGACGAAGAATACGGCTTTCGCACTGTCTGTGCTACTAGACTCTACGGTCAGCGATGCCTCGTTGCTGTAGGGCGAATCGTGTATGTAGACGCGTAGTATGGTCATGGGCGATGTTTTTATCCGTGTCATCAGGTAATGCGCCTTCATCAGTGGCGTCAATTCTCTTGCAAGATTGGACATGAAGGTTTGCGCCTGGAAGCGTGGGAGGTGGTCTGAATCGTTTGTGACTTCCATGTCCGTTATTGGTGATCGCGCATTCGGTATTTTAGTAAGACGCTTGGCTGTCCAGCGCAAGGCATTTGGATGGTCGAGGAGGTACTGGATCTCAGCCGTTGCCAGCTGGTACATGGATATGCCGTGTCGCCAGTCTCCCTCGAGTATGCGGTCGAGCAGCTCCCTCCTGCCACCTTTGCGCGCGGCAAGCTGCTTGTACGTCTCCTGGAGCACCTCATAGCTTTGCGCCGGCTCGTATATCTCCTCCTCATCCTCATCCTGTATCCGATCGCCGAGGAGGTATGGCTTGCAGAAGTCGCGGTTCTTCTTGCTGAGCCATTGCAGCGCGAGCGATACGAGGGACTGGCGGGAGAGCTTGGTGAAGGTTCGCTGGACTTCGCGGTGGTTTACGGGCAGCCGGTGGGAGTGGGGGATGTTCTTGTAGTCGGGGGCGGTAGCCATCACGTCGATGCGCTTTTGGTCTACATGGAGGGGTTGCTGGGCGTTGTTGATCGGACGATGTTATCGATAGTGGAGTCGCGACGCGTCGAGGAGGAACGTGGGACACCACGTGACATGGCCTCCCCACCTAGCCATCACACCCAGCCTTGGAGGTACCACGTAGCGACAGACATGTGCTCTCAAGCCACGAATCGCCCCGAAGCGCTTGGATTTGAACACTTTCGATCTGGTGTCTTTGACTTTGGTCCTTGTGCGGCTAGGCATAATGATAGTTCCACTTCCTAGGTAGTCTCCAGACCTACCTAGGTACTATGGTGCTGGTCCGTCATAGATGACCATATAGTATTACCTATGTTGATACACGTGAAGCTGTTCCCAACGAGCCTGCAAAATCACTTCAAGACTGTATCCCGTTGACAGCCATACGTACTGCCACGGTCGCATACAGCTGTATCATGGCTAGGAATGTTTTACCTTATTCGCAAGACTCGAGTGAGGATTGATTACTTGTTTCTTGCCGAAGATAGCATGTAAATGCCGCATGGAAAGTGCCGTCTTTCAAATCTGGGATCCACCTAGATCGCCGGTCCAGTCTCGGACAAAGACGCTCAAACACGATTGGCTATCGGCAATTTGAACGTCTTGATTACAAACAGTCAGTGTTCAGCTGTCGTAAGAAGGAGTCCTGTGTGCTGACGGTGAGAGAGGTCATGAGAGACTCATCGCTTCATCAATGTTCAACGTTCTCGGGCCAAGCCGCTACCCACAATTTCCTTTACATTCAAAGCTTCGAAATCGAACGCAACAGTCGTTTGCAAGTCCAACCGCACGTGGGGTGAGGCTCGGCGTAAACGCGGCCTGGGGTTTACGGTCGCTAATACCAAGTAGTCAGCTACCGCGGGGCTCCCATTGATCGAGAACGCCCTTCGCACTTTGACGTTCATCCACGTCACGACACCCGCACACATCCCTCTTGCTTTTTGTACTCTCTCCAACGGTTCGCGCAAGAGAACGTGTACACCAATTCAGCGAACTACCCGACGACGCCGCAGCAAAATTCACTCTCGCAATATCAGCTTCTGCCACGCAAGCGCGATCGGATCGGGCCCGGCAGAGAACCGACTCCCACTTTCTCAACAGCATATTACCAGCGACTGGACTCCATCGTCGTCCGGATAGCAAACAAACGCCCATGTCCGCCTACAAAGGGCAGCGAGGGCCCAACGTGTCCCAGTACATCGCGAACCTTAACCAGCTGTCGCCACAGCAGGATCTGTTCGCTGAGCCAGCGCCCGCCGAGGACTTCTCCGACTTCCTGAACGGCGACTTCTTCGACGCGGACGGCGCTCGCAACGCCAGCGTCGACTTTGCTTCTACCAGTGACTTTGGCCTCGGTTTTGAAGCCGAGCAAACACAGCCGTTGAAGACGGACGGAGAGTTTCCGCGCAACCCCAGCACTAGCGTCGACGCGACCATGGACTTCAATCTGAATGGTAAGCATTCTCCCGTTCTTACAGCCGTCCTTTTATCCTGTCGATTGGGTTATTGCCAATCGAGACTCGTCCCTGCTAGGCGTAGTACTCTTCGTCCAATTACGCGGACGAAAGGCGCATGCACACCCCGCCTTGTGTGCAGTATGCATCGTCACCCCACACCCTGTGTGCTAGCCACTCACCACATGGGATGCTGATGCAGCTAAACATCCCTGCAAGCACGTAGTTGGTTGTTGCGCTGAGCAGAAACACCACACACTCACATCACCATCCGACTATCGTAGCCTTGAACACCCATGGCTGACTTTGATACACTCATAGGCGACTTCCCGTTCACCGACTTCAACAACTTCGGTACGGCTCCAGCCTTTGACCCGTCTATGCCACTGGCGCACACTCAGCCTGCCCACTACCCGCTCGCACCCAACTACGCTTCGCCTGCCTCCTCACTATCCCCTGCCGCACAAGGCTACGACCAGGCTTCGAAGAAGCGCAAGCTCGACAATGCCGCTCCCGTCATCCCGCAATCACTCGACGAGAACGCCCGCGTAGCCGCTGAGGAGGATAAGCGTCGCCGTAACACTGCTGCGAGCGCTCGCTTCCGCATCAAGAAGAAGCAGCGTGAGCAGGCTCTCGAGCAATCTCAGAAGGAGGCCCAGGAGAAGGTCGCCAAGCTAGAGGCTACCATTCAGCAACTGCAGACAGAGAACGCATGGCTAAAGGGCCTCATCACTGAAAAGAACGGCGGCAAGAGCACTACAGACGAGCTCCGGGCGCTTATCAGCAAGCGGGAGCAAGCCGTAAACGGACGGAGTAGCACTACGCACACAGATGGCGTAGGCACCCAGGCCGAGAGCCAAAAGGCAGAGGCCTAAAAGCTGTTCTTCGTTCTTGACCTTCCTTCTCTGTACCCTGTTGCTTACTTGACATGGTCATTCTTTACTTTCGCGTACTAAGCGTATACTCTGCCACACTGCTTCCGTGGTTGTATGTGCGGGACGGGATATGCAGTGGAATCAGTAATAGTATGCCATGATGTCCATGTAGACGAGCCCATGAGTAAATAGTCGATACCATATTCAACACATACAATGCAATTTCAACCATCATCGCCGCAAAAGACATCAAGTGAAGAAGTAGTAGGTATCAATTTCGCCATATCAACTCGAAGAAGCGCAAGACTATGCACAGTGAGGTTTCAACGCCATACCCATGAGAAGAAGAACATCGATCTCGAAGCAAAACCTATCCCAAGCTCACCTCGTACCCTTGAGCAAGCCATTCACATAGCTCTCGCTCGCCCCCACCTTCGCATACTGGGTCTTGGCTCTTTCTATCTTGATGGATCGTCTGTACGGGAGATGCGATCGCTCCCATACGGGAGCGTCATCGCCCTGGGCGCTATAACCCTTCTAGATAGCGATCCAGGTAATGGTAATGACGATGTCCATGCCCTTCTTCTCGGCAGCCTCCCACTTGTAGCTGTATGTGCCATCCTTCTCGTTGTTCCAGAAGGCGCCGACTGCGCTGTGCATGCCGCGGCGTCCGTGCTTCTCGGGCTCTGCGGGAGAGCCAATGTGTTGGATTACCGTGCTGTTGGCGATGTACTTGTAGGCGGGTTGCGCGGGAGTTTCAGGGGTGGCGGTCTCGGATGCAGGTGTGGTCTTGCTGATGAGAGTCTTCAGGATGGATTGCTGGTGTGGACGTTAGAAGAGGATCTAGATGAGGTGAGGTCGCGTGCGTGGTTGCGCAGGTCGGTGTCGCAATCATTCGCCGGCTCCTTCTGTTGTCACAACAGAGCCTTGCCCAACCGCAGGTGTGCGAAGCCACCTGAAGTTGGCTTCTTTTACACTGGAGACCAGGCGCGAACTTTTGACGGGGCTAGTGGCGCATATGGTTGCGCAAGCTAGCGCAGGGAAATATAATTGAGACTTACGATGATCTCGCTGTTCCACTCTCCAACCTTGGTGTGGTCATATGATTCTGCGGAACCGATGGCTTGCTCGCAGGCCTATATGCCATTGTTAGCACATGGGCCTTCATTCCGAGACATGTAGGGTGGTATACCTGTTGGGCAATTTGCTCCAGCTCGGAGGTGGGAAGCGGTGACGCGGACTGTCCTCTGTCAGTATACATTCCATGCTGTAGGCCGGTGAAGATACGTACTGCCATAGCGATGATCGTTCTGTGTAGGGATTATTGATGTAGGGACTTGTTGACTTTTAAAGTATGTCGATGCCTAGGACGGTGATGCTGTGCAGTGAACAGTGTGAATGTCGTGTTTACTCCCAGGATCAGTGTTTGGCCACAGCTAGCGTCGGCGGCCGGAGTTGGACGTGGCACAGAGGGACCGGGCCATCCCCGCATGCAGCCTCACAGCCAATGAGCGTCGCCTATGCAACGCTGTCACGTGGGCGTCATGATAGGCCGACGCAAGTCGCGAGTGCATGGGTTCCCATCGCGACCCGCAACATCGAGCTTTGACGGCACAGTGAAGCAGACTTCTTCTCACCAACTCTCTCCTGCCACCACTCTCTTCGTCTGAAGCTGCACCAAGCATTGGATCCACTCGCGCCCGTCAATTGCCCATTCTACCTGTCAGGAACACCATCGCAAAGCTCGCGTCGCAACTTCAGTGGGGCTGCTATCACCATCGTCATGTCGACCCAACCGCTTCTCCAAACTGCCCCGGGTGCGTCGCGTCCTTCTGCCCTCCCCAGCTGCTCTTACTAACCCCTTTGTCCAGGCAAGCGCATCGCTCTCCCTACGCGCGTCGAGCCCAAAGTCTTTTTCGCAAACGAGCGCACCTTCCTTTCATGGCTCAACTTCACCGTCATCCTCGGCGGCCTCGCGATTGGCCTGCTCAACTTCGGCGACAAGATTGGCAAGATTTCCGCCGGCCTCTTCACCCTCGTTGCCATGATGGCTATGATCTACGCTCTCTTCACCTTCCACTGGCGCGCCAGGAGCATAAGACTTAGGGGCCAGGGCGGCTTCGACGACAGGCTGGGTCCCACTATTTTGACCATTGCCTTGTTTGCCGCCGTCATTGTCAACTTCGTGCTGAGATTGACAATGGGTAATGAGCAACATCATGGCAAGAACTAGAGAAAATAACACAATGGGTGGATGCACGGTGGGCGCATCGGGTAGTATTCATTCTACGTTTCTATGAAGCGCGAATGAGTATGCACTGTTCAAGAAGAAGGAGAAAGTATGCAGAAAGGGGATCAGAACGGGCAGTCAAAAATCACATGGGCAATGAGAACCGACGAGGACCACATGGTTGGGGCGGTGGAAAGGGCGTTTATTCTTGCGAGTGAACATGGTTATGTTATTTGAAAGTATTGTACAACCACATAATGTCATGGACGTCGAAGTGAGGCGTTTATCATGTTTACATTGGCTATTCGACCAAGTTCATGCTTGAACAGGTACTAACCATACAAACTCTATTAGCCGAGCAGAGAAATTGCAAATCGGTCGCACTTCTCAGATGACCCATGCTGACTGTAGGGATGGTCTTTGGGACAGAATGAGGACTTCCTGAAATTTGAAAGGAATTGTTTAGATACAATTGAACTTAGTTCAGAGAAGGGAAGACCCCCATGAACAACGGGCGTATTATAAGGGGGTATCTCTGTTATTGATCTCAAACGAGTACCATGTTGAAAGAGCTGATACTGCTACAATAGCGTAGGTGCGCTCAAGGGCGCAAAGTTACTCAAATCAAATCCAACTGCGGTGGTACTTGCTGCGGATGTGGACCTGTAGAACCGTTAAACGTCGCTGAGATTCGACGTTTATCTCCCTACCAGATGAACCTCTGTAAGTTACCAGGCTCGCTAGCCCACGTAAACGTGCGGAACAGGAAAGTATATGAGACTGCTACGTTAATAGCGAGCAGCCAGACAGTCTCCAGAATCAGTCTGATATCGTATCCGTTTCTCGAGTTCGTGGTTCGACCACACGGCACATGAAGTCGCCAGATGATCCAGGGAAGGATGAAATAACGGGGCTCTACAAGAGGCGCAGTAACCACCGATAGAGCAGTCGTGGCTAGCCATATGATAACAAAGCTCATCCGGCAGGGTTGGCGATCAGCTGTGTCTTTGGAGAGGTCGGTCTTGATCTTCTCTTCCGGTGCTTGCTCCGCCGCTCGTGAGACGGTCTTCGTTGGTGAGACAAGCGCTTGGATCGTGGACCATGCACAGACGTAGTATGCTGGAATCGCGAGGTATTTCAATGCTGGATATAGTCGGAGCATCTTGAAGACGTAGAAAACATAGTGCCGGTTGTCGGCCAAGGTGTACGGGTGGATGATGGTGTTGAAATGCACGGCAAGGAAGCTGCAGGCTAGGAAAAGTCCAGTTGTGAGCAGCGCTGGAAGCCCCAAGCTAAAGGCGATACGGTAGTCGTGACACACTGTCTGCAGACGCATGGGTAGAAAAGGAACAAGCGGTCCAACCAAAGACCCGACCACCAGTGGCGCTGAGAAGAATGCTATGTATGGCCAGATATAAAGCATCTGAGGAAGATGGATGGTAGCTGTGTGGGCCGATTTGTCCCCTCTTCATGTCAGCAGTTTGTCAATGCGGAGGCCCAGGGTTACGCTTACCAAGGACAACACTCCCGTTCCAGGCTACAAAGCCAGCGAACAAAACTAAGAGGATGATGTAAGGCGAAGCAACCTTGAGTACGAGCAAAGGTTTCCGTAAGGCTGCAACGACCAAGGACAACACGAACACAACAACATCTAACAGGTTATCAGCAACTGCTTCAGTAAGGTCCCATAGCGAATCATACCTTGAAGCCCCGCATCTTGAACGGAGCAGTCGTGAACTGTACCGTCTTTCCAGGCGGTCTGTATAGCCAACATAGGGTCTGCTTTGTCTGACATCGTCGAAGGTGCATCTTTCTTGAGCGCATCGGCAACGGCAAGTCCAGCGGGAAATACAGCCACCCAGAAGATATTAGTTTGCCGGAAAAGAAGTGCAAAGATACCAAATGAGACTGAGCTGAAATATCCCGTGAAAGTTCGAGTCGATTCCGAGTTCGCCAGATACGCATAGAACGCCAGTAAGACGGCCAAGGTCGACCACACATCTGTGTAGTACAACGCCGAGAAGAAGAAAAGAGGAGGAAACAGCGCGACATTGAGAGCGGAATGAACATCGACCATATAGGTAGAGTCTTGCGTGGCATGGTTCGGCTTTGCTTTCTCTCTATCACCGGGCGAGCTTTTGCTTGGGTTATCACGCGTTCGAAGTGTACGCAGGATACCATAGCTTAAAACCAATATAACGCAAAGGGCTTGCGCGTTCACAAGGCGCAAAGAACCTATTTCACAACCTAACAGCGGCTTGTGTAATTTGGAGATCAAATATCTTTGGTTATTTATCAGTTTTGTTCGGTCAGCCGTTATTAGAGGCAGTCGTACAGGCCAGGTGGAGTTGTAATTTTTGGATCCCATGAGTAGTCGCCTTTGCAGTATTTTTGGGCCTGTGGGACATGAAAGTACTCATCCTGGTATTCTGTTAGTGTTGGAATGCTTCTTTAGTGTCAATACTTGCCAGGTAGGGGTTCGGGACTTCGTGTATCACTTCGCCATACCATGTGGCCATGAGCCAGACAATGAGCGCTATAGCGCTGGGGAAAGCCCACATCTGAAGCAGAGGTGCCATCGGTCTGCTTTAGTCAATTGACTGATTAGCTAGAAGAGTGGTGGTGTTGACACACATCAAGGGACAGTTTGGAAGACACGGGTAATCCTGATCAAGCTAGCGCACCGCGGCCCGGGCGCGTCTTCAATGTTCGATCCCAAAAGTTAAACAACCACTCGAAGTCGCGAAACCACGCGTCGCAACATGGCATT